GAGCATGATTAAGCTGTTGAGTCTTGGTACTGAAAATCATTCTATAAAGGTACTGTAATTGGTTCTGTAAAGGTTCTGTAATTTTTTCTGTAAAGGTTCTGTAATTTGTTCTGTAAAGGTATTGTAATTTGTTCTGTAAAGGTTCTCTAATTTGTTCTGTTAAGGTTCTGTAACTGGTTCTGTAAAGGAACAGTAATTTGTTCTGTTAAGGTACTGTAAATTTGTTCTGTTAAGGTTCTGTAATTTGTTCTGTAATTGGTTCTGTAATTTGTTCTGTAAAGGTTCTGTAATTTGTTCTGTAAAGGTTCTGTAATTTGTTCTGTTAAGGTTCTGTAATTTGTTCTGTTAAGGTTCTGTAATTTGTTCTGTAATTGGTTCTGTAATTTGTTCTGTAAAGCTTCTGTAATTTGTTCTGTAAAGGTTCTGTAATTTGTTCTGTAATTGGTTCTGTAATTTGTTCTGTTAAGGTATTGTAATTTGTTCTGTTAAGGTTCTGTAATTTGTTCTGTTAAGGTACTGTAATTTGTTCTGTAAAGGTACTGTAATTTGTTCTGTAAAGGTTCTGTAATTTGTTCTGTAAAGGTTCTGTAATTGGTTCTGTAAAGGTACTGTAATTTGTTCTGTAAAGGTTCTGTAATTTGTTCTGTTAAGGTTCTGTAATTGGTTCTGTAAAGGTTCTGTAATTTGTTCTGTAAAGGTTCTGTAATTGGTTCTGTTAAGGTTCTGTAATTTGTTCTGTAATTGGTTCTGTAATTTGTTCTGTAAAGGTACAGTAATTTGTTCTGTTAAGGTACTGTAAATTTGTTCTGTTAAGGTTCTGTAATTTGTTCTGTTAAGGTATTGTAATTTGTTCTGTAAAGGTATTGTAATTTGTTGTGTTAAGGTATTGTAATTTGTTCTGTAAAGGTACTGTAATTGGTTCTGTTAAAGTACTGTAATTTGTTCTGTAAAAGTATTGTAATTTTTTCTGTTAAGGTACTGTAATTTGTTCTGTAAAGGTACTGTAATTTGTTCTGTAAAAGTATTGTAATTTGTTCTGTAAAGGTACTGTAATTTGTTCTGTAATTGGTTCTGTAATTTGTTCTGTAAAGGTTCTGTAATTTGTTCTGTAAAGGTACTGTAATTTGTTCTGTAAAGGTTCTGTAATTGGTTCTGTTAAGGTTCTGTAATTTGTTCTGTTAAGGTATTGTAATTTGTTCTATAAAGGTATTGTAATTTGTTCTGTAAAAGTATTGTAATTTGTTCTGTAAAGGTACTGTAATTTTCTGTAAAGGAACTGTTTTTCATATGTTGGGGTATACATAATAAAATATTAAGATACAAGCCTCTGGATAGTTGATATGTTGAAATAACATGAATTATAAGCAAATGCAACAATTTCTTCAATTAAGTTCAAGTTTCAAAATGTGTTTCATATAAAGTACAGATATCTTAATTGGGAATGTTTCCTTATATTAACTATGTAGCCATACAATAAACATTTATACTAGTTCTGGAATTTATCATTAGCCAACTGTCACCATCAATTATCTCTTATTTGGAAATACACAATATCTTGCTAATGCAAAACATCAATAAATTTGATAACATATACGCAAAGACAACATTAGGGAGGATCACAAACAATTTTTCCTTCGGCAACACCAAAAGCATTACCAATATAACCTAGAACATATGACAGGTATAAAATATGATTTAACATTTATAAGGAAATATATAAACAAATGTAAAACTTTAATGAGACATTTTTCCAGCCACCACATCCAAACTTAATAAATTTAATCATAAGATCTTATTTACAGGAGTAACCATGACAAACCACATCAAATCTGTTACAAACATTACAATCAAACACTGAGTACTTATTAAATGGATTTCATCAAGTATGGTATAAATTTCATCCCGTTGTTCACTATTGTATTTATGTTAGGGCTGTGAAAGCTTTGATGTTGACCTACAGAGCCCCAGGTGAGGATTCAATGTCATGTGTGTAGTTCTATACTTCCTTCACCTGGCAGTTTTGGTACCTCGGGATGCGGAGTAACGGACAAGTCTATGCTGACTTAGTTGTGTCCATGGTCAAGTTACTCTAGCCTTATTATGCTGGATGGCACATAATGGGCCTCCAGTATACTGTTCAGCAAGGTAGCCACATGCTATAACTACTAAAAGGACACCCTGCCTCATAATGACTCTAAGTTCATCCAACAAATCCAGCAAACAAACAAATGTGTAGGTAAGAAGAATATTACTTACAATGTAGACAATATTCTCTGTCAAATTATCAAGGTGATCTGCCCCTTTACAAAAGAAAAATGCATTAGCCATCAAAATAATAGTGTCAGTCTGACATTCAAAGTTTAACATTTGAAACGTGACTATCTTTGGCCTTATGCAGAGGAAGGTTATGGAAATAAACAAAAATTGAAATGACCTAGAGGAATATAGGTGCTACCATTGTTTTGATCTTCATTTGTCCTTTCTCTTCTGTCCTCTTCTCTTTTAATGACAAGAAATTTCAGAATTCTTAACAAACAATAACAATAATTTTGAATTGTCAAATCAAAGATGATTGCCTGTATGCAATTTTGTTTTTCTGGTCAGTTACAAACTAAAAAATGCACAACTAGGAATCAAGGTACTTTCTCATGAAATTTGAAAAATATCTATCCGGTATTTCTCAGGAAATTGAGCTAACAAACTTTCATTGTCAAAATCAAAGATGGCCATCTGTCAGCCATTTTATTTTTCCAATCCATCCCAAAATCAACAGGACACAATAAGGCACCAAGGGGAACCTATTACATTTATATATGAAATCTGAGGCTGATCCATCCAATATTTCTCAATAAATAGTAGTAAGAATCTTTCATTGACAAAATTCAAGATGGTCTTGTGGCAGCAATTTTGCTTTTTTGAACAGTCCCAAAATCAAAAGGCTAAAACTAGGAACCAAGAGGAATGATTAATATGAATTTTGAGAAAGATCCAATCAGTACTAACAGCTGTTAAAGAAGAGAGAGAGAGACTAATGATTGTGGGCTAATAAAACATCTGAACACATATAATGAACTGTGGGATTGTAATCAGTATGCTCAATGTCATTTTGGGAGACACTATTTCCTCAGATATTGATAGTTAACAGTGAGTATAACTTTTTGAGTAAGTGTAAGTGAACAGGTGTGATCATCTGGAGACAAAATTATCAACATACTGCAAACAGAACATATCATGTGCACAGTTATTGTAGTTTTGTAAAAGCAAATTTTTGTACAAAGTAAATTCAATTAGACAACAGCCAGTTCCAATTACAATTACACCATATATCTAACAACAATCACATAGCAACTTTAACACTTAGGAGAGCCTATCATTTTCTCTAAAAAAACCCACAGATTTCTACATAATCTTACACATTATTCAATGTTGTATACAGAACTGCATGCAAAGCAGTAAAAATAAGGATGAATTTTGCCATTTACATGGAAACAAATACAATATCTTAAAATCACCATGTCGCCTGCTCTTGAAACTGTTCTTTTCACTGTTTCAAAAGATAAAAACAGTATATATCATTTATTTAAATGATGTCATGAACCAAAATAATACTTAACATATGACTAGACCAACCTTAGCTTCCTTTTAAAAACAAAATCTGTGTAAACTATATACAAAATAATTGCAGTTAAAATGTAAAACTAAAAAAAAACAACAACGTAAAATACAAGCTAGCGTACACAACATATTGAAATAAGGAAGTGTTTACCTGATGTTTGGCTGAATGTTTAAATATAAACATCAAACTATTTAAACAGTTTCACTGGTTATAGGAAGGACTAGTATACATGTATGCCTGAGGCTGGGACAGTGAGACACAAATCATTCATAAAAAAATTTAAACTCTGGTCATATTAAATACTTATTATAACCATGGACATTTTGGCGGGGGTTAATTTCACGATTTCTATGGTAATCTATACATGAGGAAGGTTATTTTCCCCATTAATTTTCATTTTATTTCGTCTATAAAATTCAAGCACATCACAAAATATTACTGCAGGGGAAATTTTCGCGATCTATCGACCTTTGCTTAATTAGCATAAATTTTGCCCCATCTTGAAAATTTCTCTGTTTACAGTGCTACAATACATCACTTGACTAAGGAATTTCTTTTCACCATTGTTAGTTGAGGATCAATGTTATCTAAAAAATCATACTCAATGTACACCAAATTGTACAGCTAACAAGGTTACAAAGAGACACTTTTTCAACAAATCTGACAGCACAAGTGACAAATTAAAAAGTAACTTTAAAACCAAATCAGTCAGATATTGATAATTGTCTCTAGGAATTTCATCCAGATCAGTTTAACAGCTGCACTTGGTCCTACATTTTCAATTTTTAGCTTTTATTTTTCATTATTTATAACACCCAATGAATTAAGACGAATATAGTGTATGTCTACCAAAGTGAGTGTTTTCTACAATATTAACATGTTTTATGTATATATTTACAGTTAAACCAACCATTAAAATTGAAATACTCTCCCTGTAAATGCATGCTTCAAGTTCCAATATTGAAATTAAAGTCTTGGTTTCATATATACTAAAATAAATGAACTAAATTCAAGTATAGAAAACAAATTTATAACGAAAACTTCAAATAATGATAATTATAAAATAACGGAATGTAAAATTTCAAAATATAGAAAAAAATATTGGAAAATGTAAAGATGATATCTAAACCACTGTAGGTAATTATCATATAACATGGTTTTGTTATCAAGCATATACATATAAGTATCTTTCTTATCTAAAACAGTAAATCATAATTACTTATATATCACATGACACTGTAGAAATTAATATAACAGTTGCTGGGAATTTAAAAAAAGTTTGTCAATGGAAATGCGTAGAAAACCTACTTTGAAATGCCACAATTCTTTAGAGATTTGAAATCATCTATTGATTCACATTAAAACTTTGGTTTCAAATTAAACATCAGACAGGCAGAGTGTCCACATCTTGACCTCCCGGGTACTTATGCTTATATTCAGGTAGACTGACTGCTCTGCCACCATAGAATGCATTACTTCGGTAAGAATGGGGTACAGTTGTAGTGGCTTGCATCTCTGGATCGACTTGTACATTTCCAGATCCAGGACTTGGTGAAACTTTTGAAGATATTGGACGGATTCTCAAACTACCAAGACTTAAACTTCGCTTTGTGACCCATGCAGCCAGGGACTCTTCCTTTGGTCTCTGCTCCAAGGTCTGTCGAATACATGCCCTCATTATTCGAGACAACTCACTTGGCTTGGGTTCATTAAATAACGCATCACGAAACAGATTCAGAACTTTGCCAGTTTCCTCTGGTTTAACCTGATAACACAAACCCTCAAGTTCTAGTCGTTCCAGTTGTGGAATTTCGTAATATTTAGTTGGAGCACTAATCAACCAGCTGTAATCTACTCCAGTTTCTCTGCGTTGTTTTTCTTGATCATTTTCCCTTTCTAACTTCTCCAACTCTTTGATTTGAAAGTCCAACTCATTCATGAGGCTATCGCTGACTTGAGACTGTTGATTTCTCTCAGGAGGTCGATTTGGATCAGCTGTTAATTTATTCCACACTGACTTAAGCGGAATCATCTTTAACTCATCTCTTGAAACCTGACCAAAATGAAAAATAAGTGTATGATAATTCTGTATCCAAAGTATGTGACAGCGGCACAATGTCAAATTAATATCAATGTACTTACTTGTAGTCTATAATTCATCAACAAGTACATATTACATACTAACAAGAAGAAGGAAAAACATGAACTGATAAAAATATCCCTGGTTTCACTTCATAGGCAACATCTTCATTAATCAAAAATGTTTTTATCATAAACAGAATCTTGTCACTTGATATACTGCACAAGAGATGATGGGATGTTTTAACTTCCCAATCTGAAGTCATTTTAGAGCCATACAGCTGATCTAGATCTAGTTTTATGATTTTTATGTCATAATAACAATTTTTTGATGAAATGAATGTAGTGTATCTGCATATACCTAGAAATTGACCTCCAAGAAAAGGACTTTCATCATGCATTCATGCTCAAGCTTTGACATTTCCATGATGATGTTTTATCCTCATGTGGTTTAATTCAGAGCTGTTCAGACTGAGATATATTCTTTCAAATGAGAAAAATCTGTTGATAATTGCAATCCCTTTCTTTGGAAGCAGTCAATTACCTGTAACCATTTTTTTCAATATCATTGCTAGCAAATATCACATTCCTGAATACAATGTAGTTTGGAATGGTCTGCTATGTACTGTTTATAAGCCTACCTTCAAAACAGACACAAATGACAAACTGTGATAAACAACAGGTGCTTGTAATCATGTGTCAATTTACCCAACACAACCAAATAACATACATTGATTTACTGAATACAAATCAATAAAGTCTAATACAAGAATACAAGAGTCGATTAACCCAATACTTCCCAATACAAATTAATCTAATCCGATGCAAGTAACCATAATGTTACTCGGTACAGTGTGCTTTTTTTGGGGGCAATATAGACATTTGGTTGTCATGCATGATATGGACCAGAAAACAAACAAATTCACATCTACAAACTAAAGTGTACACATGTCTATAATGATATTTCTTAATCTAGAAGCAATATCTGCCAGGCAAAAAAACTGTTTTATTTCTAATATCATTGTTGCTTTTTCTTTCTTTTTTCCAAATTTATATACCGGTACCGTAAATGTCTATTCCTCTAAACTATCAAATATACTAATTGACTGTTAATTATAATAAGAACTACAAATAATTTAAGAGCTCTGGTCAATATTTATGTCATTCCACTTTTCTGCTAACATCAAGCAATCCTAACATGTTTATGTAATAACACAGTACGTCTTTCGTAAAGCCAACGGAGATCATTATGTGACACATCTTTACACAACTAGTTCATTTAGTGACACAGTGTGATTATGTCAACATTTGATAGGATGGCTAACTAAGCAGCATGACGTGACTTTCGCATGTACGTGTAATTAATATATATTAGATATGGCTTTGGCCACTGTGATATGAACCCATTTTATACAGGTGATGCTTGCTAGATGAGATAACAACTTTGATATTTCTTAACAAATTTACAATTGTCTTTATTTCCATCTAATAATGGATCGCTATCACTATTTTTAGTATTCTCATTTCATGAACCAATAAACAAATCCACAACACTGAAATAATTTGCATGTAAAAGATTGACATAAATAAAGGCATATACATAATTTTCCTTCAAAATCAAATCACTGATATCATGGTTTGTGGAAGAAAAGTTCAGTCTGTAGAGTATTCAACAAAACAAGAGATACCAGACGGATCTTGGTGCCCATCATTGTTTGATCATTATTTGCTCTTTGTTGTTGGATCTGTCCCTGCTTTTCTCTACCCTGTTTTTGCTCTTAATGATAAGAAATTTGAACATTCCCTTGCAAAAATAGCAATAATATTATTTACCTGTCAAAACCAAGATGATTTCCTAAAAGCCATGATTGCTTCTGATCAGTCCCAAATCAAATGGACACAAGTAAAGATCAAAGAAACATACATATAAAATTTGGGAAAGATGCATTCTGAAGAAATAGGGACAACAATCTTTACTGGCAAAATCAAGATGGCTGCCTGTTGGCCATTAAATTTTTGTATTAGTCTCCAAATCAGATAGGCACAACTTTAGACCAAGAGGAATCTTTACATGAAATCTGATAAAGATTTATGCAGTATTTCTCAAGAAATAGCAATAACAAACTTTTGAAGTCAAAATCAAAGATGTCTGCCTGTTGGTCATTTTCTTTTTCTGGTCAGTACCAAAATCAGACAGGCACAACTAGAGAATAAGGGAAGCAAACACATGAAATTTGAGAAACATTTTTGTTGTAGTTTTCAAGAAATAGCAATAACAAACTTGTAAAGTCAAAATCCAAGATGGCTGTCTGTTGGCCATTTTGTTTTTCTCATCATACCCAAAATCAAACTAGGGACCAAGGGGAACCCATATATGAAATTTAAGAAAGATCCATCAAGTACTTCTCAGGAAATAGTGATAACTGGGAGAAACAGTAATTCATCTAATATTATTTAATGATAATTATAAAGAATATATGTATCCTTAGCACAATACATTCGGACCCCTTGTATTAATTTTTCGCTAGCTTTGCTATGTTGATGAACTGCCAACAAACAAATACATAAATGAATTAAAATGTGTTCATACTAGAAGATCTATTTAAAAACTGGTCAGTGAAATACCAATTTTTTTCTAAACAAGAGGCCTAGTAGCCTTGATGGTCATCTGAGATAAGCAATATTGAATATAAATGTTAAAGGGAAAGTAGCTTTCAAGTGTCATGAAAAAGGAATTATTACATTGGTGATACTAAGCCAGTGTCAATACATGCATACCATCAAAACTGTTATTCTATACTAATAAATCTTACGAAGTTATTTCCAGTGGGAAATTAACACTGTTATGCGAAAAAATTATTTTTTTTTTAATAAAAATTACAGCAATCTTAACCTCCTCTCCAGGAGCAAATGTGAATCTATTTTGATAACTAAAGCTCCTCTTACCTGGGTGTTTAAAAGAATATTTTTGAAATTTAAGTAAATTTGACCCCTTTTGGCCCTCCATAACAGCCCCTGGAGGCCAGTCAAGATCAATCCATTCATACCATCTCGCCATCATCCTTCATTCATAATTCTAACCAAGTTTGAAATATTGCTATGAAAATTAAACAAGTTATACTTAAAAATATATTTTTCATATATAAACTACAGTAAACTTTACCCCCTCCCCACAGGGAAATGTGAGACCCTTGGGCCATGAAATTCACAATTTTTTTTAAACCACCTAAGACACTTCAATCCATGAAGAGCAATTGATTCTATCATACCTGGGTATTGAAAAGAAGATTTTTGAAATTTGAATAAAACTGACCTGTTTGGTCCTGCCCCTCAGGCCGCCATGAGGTGTGGACCATATAAATCACTATTATGTTTTATCTTAGGCCTGGGAAGGTTTCTACAAAATTTTATTGAAATCTGTTAGGGACATTTTGAGAAGACAAAAAAGTTAAATTGTTTAAGGATGCATGATGCTGGATGAAGGTGATTGCAATAGGTTACCATGTGACTTTGTCTCAGGTGACCTGGAAATAACCACAGATATGATCTCAAATTTGCTCACCTGAAGTGATCAAAATGTGTATTGGGCAGGTGACTGCACTTCCATTTCTGATGACATCACTAAATCACAGAAATGCTGGAGTTAGCATAGTGTAACCCAGAAGTATACACGTATTACATAAAATCAGAATTTGAGCAGGAATGACATTTTGATGAAAATAAAAATCAAAATTCATTCATGGTGCGAAAGTGGTGGATAACTATGTTTATTTGTGCACCTTTTCTAAAGGGTTAAATTCAAGTTTTTATCATTAGATCTTTTCTTTCTAAAATGAGCCATATTTCTTGGTAAACTTCTTTTTCACAACACAAACTACTTAAGTAAAGCTGATTTTTCATCTCTGTGTACAACTACATATGTAGCTATTTAAGTAAAATCAGAAATGAGTCATCGAAAGTGATAATTTATAAAGGATCATTTTTTCAATTTTCAATATAAGGCGTGCAAGTTTGGACTTCTGTAGCCAAAGAATTGCGAGAAGGTGTGGCATTTTAATCATGGTCGATTTTGATTTACATAACAGACTACAGACTTCATCATAACTGGGAGGATGTTTGACATGTAAAAATGTGGAAAAATTACACAAATCTATCAATGGAATATATAGTCATAATATTTATGATGAATGGTTTAAATCGTCTTTCATTGTTCTTTCTGGAAGCGTGTAATGTTAAAACAACAAAAATTATCAAAATATCGAAAGTCAATTGTTTATGTGACACGGCTCGACAAATATATATAAATACGTAACAGCCTGGAACTGACGTCCAGACGATATCATAAAATATCATCGATTAATTCAGAAATAAGGTTGAAAGTTTCTTCTGTTGTCTTTTTTTAAGGAACCATAAGAATCCCATAGCGGGAAAAATTCAATTTGTTACACGTTAGCCCGATAAACATCTTCACTCTGTATGCATAGTGTGATTATTTGGCATATATCAGTTGTGTTATTGTGTAAATCGGCTGACCTGCTTATAATGATGAAAACTCTTTGGGCAATTTTCATTATTTTCCCTATCTCTAAACAGTATATTTTCATATTCTTATTAAATGTCAATCGTGCTTTTGATTGTCTTACCTTTCTATAACACCATAAACACTCACTGAAGGAGTTTTTTGCAAATTCTGTGGCTGCGTGATGATTTGTTCCGGTTTTTCAGTAAATAGTGTAAACACAAACAAAAGTCCTTTTCATTGGTTTATTTATTATATCTGACCAATCAGAGGTAGCGTTTCAAATTCAGTCACGGAAGCTATTGACATTTGACAAGATGGCGCATACGCAAGGTGCCCAAAAACCTATTCAGCAAGATTGGGCAAATAGAGAATACATCGAGGTTATCACTGGCAGCATTAAGAAGATATCTGACTTCCTCAATTCCTTCGGTAATATTAACAATAGCAATTCCGAAGCCAGATATATCGGAGACAATCGTCTCATTCTTAGCCCAAGCTAGTTAACACTGATAACAGAACATTTCAGAGTGAAAGCCAAAACAATACGTTTATTTACTTGATTGCTGGTATTTTTCTCATGTGAACAGCCAGGAACGTTTTGAGTCAATGATCTAATATGGTAGTATACGTCACTGAACATCATGCTGGAGGTCCTTCACATGATGATCAGAGCTAGTCAACAGCAAGATGAAGATGGGTAAAGAGCATTGCCAATGAACACCACAACCACTAAACACATAAATTACTAGAAGTGAAAGTAAGCATGAAATTAGTGTTTTAGAGTTAGAAATTTCCGGTGTGTTAGGAATATCACTTGACGTTATTGATAGAGCTAGACAAGTTAGATGGTTATATGATTGTTTATTTAAATTCTGTTGGTGATGCACCACTTACAAAGTGGTCCAGTAACCATCGTCAGGGATGTTTGTAGAGGATTTTTAAAAATGTGGCTTGCTCATGGTGGCCTGAAAATCACACAAGTGAACTCAAACTCGCACTGGTACCCTTCTATATGTTAAAGGAATATTCTCATCTGCCATAGGTAGTAATCTGCGTCCTGTAACCACCAATCTTACAGTAGTACATAGTAATTCTGGCACTGTTTATGTTGTCATGAAGATTTAGAGAGGGTTCTGACAAAAATGTCTCCAATGGCCAGAGTAAAATTGTGTAGAGGTGCTAAAAAATTGTCATAGTTGTCACATAGATATAAAGTGTCATTGTGCTGAGTGTGGTGGGACATAGCTAGATATAAAGTGTCATTGTGCTGAGTGTGGTGGGATATAGCTAGATATAAAGTGTCGTTGTGCAGAGTGTGGTGGGACATAGCTAGATATAAAGTGTCATTGTGCTGAGTGTGGTGGGACATAGCTAGATATAAAGTGTCATTGTGCTGAGTGTGGTGGGACATAGCTAGATATAAAGTGTCATTGTGCTGAGTGTGGTGGGACATAGCTAGATATAAAGTGTCATTGTGCTGGGACATAGCTAGATATAGTGTCATTGTGCTGAGCGTGGTTGGACATAGCTAGATATAAAGTGTCATTGTGCTGAGTATGGTAGGAAATAGCTAGATATATAGTGTCATTGTGCTGGGTGTGGTGGGACATAGCTAGATTTTAAGTGCCGTTGTGCTGAGTGTGGTGGGACATAGCTAGATATAAAGTATCATTGTGCTGGGTGTGGTGGGACATAGCTAGATATATAGTGTCATTGTGCTGAGTGTGGTGGGACATAGCTAGATATAAAGTGTCATTGTGCTAGGACTAAGGAAAAGCTCGCCATCGCACATTTGTTATTAGTTGTTATGTGTGTTTGTTAGAGCCGTTCGGTGAAAACAAAATCATAATGAATGGTTGTTTCTTAGCTTTTCTTGTTTTGACCATGTGTAATTCATTCTCGTCGATGCTAAAGAGAATTGCTGAAATAAGATAAAGAATTAAATACAAAACTTTACTTTGTAGAAGGGTTTGAAGTCAATATTATTTGGACATTGTTTAGTTTACAAACACCTGGATATTGTGAGATCAGTCTCGGTTTACACAAAATACACGAATTATATTTATTAAAAAAAATAATCTTACAAATTGTGATAATAGTTTTGGTCCCTGTTTGTTGAAACTTTTATTACATTTGACGTTTTGTTTGATATATTTTAGATACATCATGCAGATCACGACTTGCCAATCTAAATGAAAAACTCACAGTTTTGGAGAAGAGGGTTGAATACATAGAAGCAAGAGTAAGTACATCTCTGATTGTTTAATGTTGCTAAAATCAAATGGAATTTCAATATAGATCACAGTGGTGTAAGTGGTCAAAATGTATAGAAGGGCTGAATTTGCAAGAGAAATCCCAGGTACAGATCCATACCAAGGCTAGCCTTCAGAATATTTGGCACAAACAGTTTGAGGGATCCAGCCATACCCAGCTGAATACCTTAACTTTTCAGAATTTCAGCATAGAGCAGAGTCAGTGCAAACACATATTTCAAGAAATTAAGCTAAAAAGCAGTCTTAGCTTTACATATATCAGTTCCAACATCTGATAAAGGTGAATTGTATGTATGATAGAATAATTCCGTGCCACCTAAACTGTTTTAACTGAGTTATTTAAAAGTGATCCTAGTTTCACAGGCTAAGTGTACGCTGATGAATGAAGAGACTTCTGATTTAAGCTGATGAGTTTTACTGAGTGTAAGCCAGCAAACTAATTTCTCATTTGTCATTTCAACATATTTTATTGTCATGACAAATGGAATCGGGAAACACACAGACAAAAACCTGACACAACAAGGATGAACAGGATATTTACTTAAAAAAGATGTCTGGTATCAGTAAGGAATCTCTGAATCAACTCAAGAATGGAATTATTTGTAACTACATCTAGCTCATGGCAATCATTTAGAAATGTTTTAATGTTTAGAAGAATATGATCGCTCAGGTCAGAAAGAGAGGTAAAAAGGAGTTGTGTTTGGTTTGTGAACAATAACGAAAGAAGTGAGAACATTCTTCAGTTGCACTAGTTTAGGGTGGGTGTATCCCTGAATGAGATTGAGGTATCAGTTCCCACACCAAGACTGGAAAAGTTTTAAGCTAGATGAAGTAATCTTAAGACGATTTAGCTTTAACTTATAAATATATTTGCCCCAGATTGTCATCAGAGGTGGATAATGAGTGTGATACTGAAATCCTGAAAAAGCCCGATGTAATCATTGAAACTGGTCAACAAACTAATGAACTTGGCCTCTCTGCCTGTTGTGATTGATATAGAATATTATTAATTTACATTTTTACTAATTACAGTAAATTGTTATTTAGTCATATAATTATTATTAATATTGCATACATGTTTATGATTTCAGGTAACAAAAGGAGAGACACGACCCTAGCTAAATAGAAATGTGCTGATCAACAGAAAACATGAAACATTTGAGCAAGACGCCTCTGTTGACCAGAAATGAGAGTGTACAGACTCCATTTTTGATGATCTAGAGGTGATGCCAGGAAAGATGAAAACTAATTCATATTTATTTCTATGGAATTTTATTCTGTGTAAAGGTTTCATTCTGGAAAATACTTAACACTTTACAGATCTGATTACAGCCAAACAGATACTACAATAAGGATGAAAGGATCTGAACTTGTGAATGAAAAATAATTGATGTAACACATTTCGATTGGATCAAGTGACCATAAGATTAGTGTGATCATTGGTAAAGTAACTGTAGGCATCATCAGTGTTTTATACATCAAATCGTTAGTCTATCATTTATCATGATAAAATCGAATACCTGACAAAGTCCAGTAACACAAGCTTTATTTACTAGTAAACAGATTGAGGTATCTAATATTGCTTAGTTCATGAATGGATTTGAGACGATCACTGTCAAAGAGATTTTCATTTTATGTAATAGATTTGTTCATAAGTTAATTTATAGCATGCTCTGTATTTACCAATAATGGACATTCTGTTTATTTTGTTCTGTATGAGAGTTCATCACTGTGAAAGGAGGTAAAAATGTTTGAAAGTGTGTGAAATTGGAACAAGCTATATTTTGTTAAATGCAAAATGAATGCCTTTCCCCCCGCCCCCTCCCCACTCCAAATAATGAAAAGAATTTCTTCCTGCTACATTTTCAAATTTGAGGGTGTGAGTCAGAATCTGTTATAGTCATCATTAACAGTTCAAATCTTTTATTGTAAACTAAGTTTAATTTGTTGAGGTACATGTAAAGACTTCTTGCAGAAGTATCACATGTATGATTGTAATTCTGTTTGACATTTCGTTGCTCTCGGCTAACTTGGAAGGATACTAAGGTGTCTTGGGTACCAGACCCTTACTGACAAAATTTAACCGTGCTATATGTAGAGTGAAAGGTATATACTGTGTCATTTATGATTAAATAAACAAGAATAAATATAAACCAAGTTTTATTCAGAATTTCCAACTTAAGGTCCACATGCTGAAATGGTCATCTGGCATTAAAGATGACATGGCAATGAAAAGTATAGATACTGAAAATATGTATCAGCAACATCAAACAATAAATAAAGCAATTCTTGGTCAACATATACTAGTCTGATGCTCAACCAATCCTGCTAAAGAGATCTTCTCTCGAGTTCATTCAGTTGAGCATCAGACTAGTAAGCCAGGCGTACCGGGTCCGAATCCTAGCAAAGGCATTGAAATAAATTATGACCTCTGTTACAAGATATTAAAGTAGATATGTTGGCCAACAAATGCTCTAGTGCTTTATGTTGCTTAAAATGTGCATCAGGAAATTTCCTCTTCTGATCTGTGTTCTGGAAGTCATACTAACTTCATTTATACAAAATAAGTTTATCTCATTCCAGTGGTGTTTCAGACCAAATGTAGATGTTTGGTTCTCTTCAGTAGAAAGTAAATTTTAAAGCAAAATGTTCAATTAATCCTATTTTCCCCAATCTGATGGCCCTGAATTTCATATCATGTTTCAATATACCCAGTATTTTTATTGAAATAGAATTTTAAGGCAAAATGTCCTATTTCCCTATAGGATCCCACCCTCATGGCTGTAAAGGTCATACCAGCTTCATTGCCACTTCTTGTCCCAGTGATGTTGATTGTGAAGCGGGTCTTTTTATCACTGCCTAATTTCCCCTGTTGGCCTTCAGAGTCAGGCTTAGATAATACAAAATGTATTTCTCCTCCATTTGTATTTTAGATGGAAATATTCTGAGATTTCTTAGTGATTCTAGAAGATGATGAAGATTATGATGATGATGCTGGATTTTTGTCTCTGTTGACTCTTTAGGAGTAGATATAGGCTTGTATTGCTCAAGTTCACAAGCAGCAAAAGGTGATACATTATGCTAGATTATCCGGACTCTGAGGTCAGTTTTGGGCCTCTTGATATATAATCAAAGTTTCAAATTCAGAAATGGTTTACCAGATAATAATATGTGAAGTTTAGTATCTTGGTGATTCAATGGCACACTGTACCACGGAGTACCATGTTGTCGTAGTCCATACTTCATTCATCTGTTATCAACATCAGGAAACTGATATTGTCAACCATATTTTGACACTTTGTTTAAGTTGAAATTCGGAAAAGTCTAAACAGTTTTCCAGCTCCCTTGAATTTCGAGACAACATGCTTCAACTGTATTTAAACCACATGATTTACAAACAATTCTGACAACAGTTTACTTTTCTAGACATTTTAATGCGAAAAAAAGCATGAAAAAATTCAAATACATTATAATCTTACTTTCTACTCTATTTGATTACGAAGCTCTTTATAAAACACAAGACAAATGATACATATTCCCCATCTGTTTATATAGAATCTCCATACACTCGCACATAAAGCTGTCTTTTGACACATTAGAAACAGTAAAACGAGAGAACTTCCCATGAAACCATTCTAAAAATTGTTAGGATTAAGGATGGAAACATTGTTTTTATCCTGCGATAAACCCAAGGGACTAACACATAACTTCTAAACCTCAACGTAGTAATTACAAATCATACAGAATTCAATATTTCTGCTGATGGGGATGGGCTTAATGCCAGACATGGGTTTATTGAGGGATAGGACAACAATATCACAGCGATAAATCCTCATAGCATTAAAAATTGAAAAACCAGATGGTGAATATATGTACATCATATCTTACAACAATAAGGTTTTGAAAGATAGAATTCTCTAACAGTAAAAATAGAAGTGTAGACAACATCAATATCACATATTTTATGGACGGAAATGAAAATTAATGTGTTAATAGGAATGGATTTACATCATTTTCAAAACATATTCTTTGTTAAAATTAAACTTAATTGTATTTATTTAGAGTAATGCCTCTAGCAAATAAGTTTTATCAACAAAACCAAAATGTTAATTAACGTAATGATTCAACTTGTTGTGCAATATCATGTGGTGTACCTTTGGCTATTACAACCTAATACTTTATTTTCATCTTCAAATCTGTGAGGTCAAATGATTTTTTAAAGTTTGTGTCTAGATCAAATAAACTTCATACAAAACAAATTGTAATCAAGCATTGAAAAAGCATCTTCAGAAGAACAAGATGGAGCGAAGAAGAATAAAATCATGTCGGCAAAAATAATGCTAATGAATATTCATCAAGTGTTTCCTTATTGAATTCATAAGCAACGTTGATGTTTATTCATTAACCCGTTTTGTTTTTTTAGTGTAATACACAAATTTAATGGAAAGTTGTTTTTAAAAATTGATAATTTATTCATAATAGAACAAATTTGAAATCAATGTTCCTACATTGTTAAATTTTTTGATTGCAAGCAATTTTAGAATCGAAATTTTTGAAACTTTTGGAAATAAATTCTAAAGTACCCTGCCTTTTAATATAAATCTACACAATATATATATGTTAAGTGTATTATATCCATGCATGAATCAGTTCAACATAAGTAAAATCTAAGGTATACAAATATCACAGGTATACATGTTATTTTCTATTTCATTTTAAATCCCTCCTTTAACAACCAAACAAAATACTAGTAGATGTATTATAACAGTAATATCACAGCCACATTTATGTACACTATAAACAATGGACGGTAAAAGTCCAGCATATCAGAAATAATATGACTAAAGATGATCTTAACAACAAAACGTGTTAATAAGTTAACCTTGCTGTAGTTGAAACATTCACATAACTACAGACTGATTAAAAAAAATCACTTTCAACAGCAGAAATTCACATATCTAAATTTTTCATTTGTTTAAATATCAATCACAGGACTAATTAAATATACACAAGTTATATTTTCCTAACTAGACAGGTACTCTAGTGACATTGAAACACTCCCACAACCTCTCACAACAAACATCACACATGTATCTGTACCTACTATGTCTCGCCAATTTTCACATTTATAAAATTACTACTATGGCACAAAAATATCTACGACCAGTTCATGTGTTACTACCAAAGATAGTAGCATATTCATAAAATAATTCTTTTAATTTGTTTTTAATATATTAGTCAAATAAACAGCAGATTTTAATATATATATATTATCAGTAGTGAAATGACTCCTTGTAATTCAGCAATTTTTACTGCTGGCAAAGTACCACATTTTGTCCGAGACATTTGTCATGTAAAGGAGCCAATCAAAAAACACAACTGAACACTTTTTTTGAACTTTTTACCATGTAAAAGACAAAATACTTCTTTATAAATAAAAAGATCAAAAACAATGTATGTTTATATGTATATATATTAAGTTCTATTTTGCTGAATATACACAAAAGCCCATCACCTTTTTTCATATAACTGTATTAATATGATGATGTTTTATGATATGAATTTATTCTTTTCAGAAATACAACAAGAAATATATATGTAATGGTTGGATTGTGTTAATATCTCTCAGGAATTTGTTGGTTAAGTTTAACAATAACACTTGGTGGTCAAAACCAACCTTTAAAAAGAAATCCTATGGTTACTGGAAAGCGGTTCTTCAAAGAATTAGTACCAGGTACCTGGTAGGTAGTCTCGTGTTCCTAACATAAACATCAGCTAGTAAAAGAAAACAGGTTTTTGTATACTTGGCACTGTGTATTACAACATTCTGTCGAGTAAGCATTGATGAAATGCGATGACAGGGATGAATCCATCTGTTAAGAGACAATTTGTCCATAAAAAATCTTCGGTACAGTTGACTCCTTACGGAAACAAAATTTCCTTTTGAAAGAAAACAGAGACATTTTCTTACAGAGAGGTTGCCTATATTTATCATATCTCATAAGGTTTTAGAGTTTTTGATTTGAGAACTACTGGCGGGCTCCACTAGCACTGTTGGGCCTCAGCATTCTATTGAGGACCTTGGGAGAAGGCACAACCTGCTGCATGTAAGGACTTTTAAGAAGCTGCACGTATGTGGAGGCTGAGTAAGGTCGGCTGTTGACTGTTATCTGAGAGGAACGTTTCTTCTTGCTGCGGCCCTTTGGACTCGGCTTGCGTTTGAAAAATATCTGTTCTGGACTGTTCTCCATGATATTAGAAGAATCTTCTGTTCTGAAGAACTCCTCAGGCATACGCTGAATGGGGACATTCTTGACAGGTATATCATGTACCAGCAGTAACACTTGTTCTGTAAACAAAACATCAATCACGGTAGTGAATATACTGTAGGTATTTTTCAAACAAAAAAACGTTTTGGTGTAAAAGAATTATCAAAAATTGTTCTTACTTCTCATTGGACATAATTTAAACAAAAAGTGATGGAAAAAGATTTTTTAAAATTTTATGTATCATTTCTATTTTGTAATGTTTCATTCAAATACAAAATTGTATGATGTTGAAATTTACAATAGATCTGAAAAAAACCCAACAGTTTTCTCTTACCTATAGTCTGATCATCAATGTTAAGGTCATTTTGACAGCTGTCACATTTGAACACAGAACAAGCAGTTCCTGTCACTTCACAGAAAGTGTGTCGCATGAAGGCGGAGTAAGCAGCATAGTCAAACGCACTGTAGCGTCCATGCCATGCAATGTAACCTGTTGACATATTATATCATTACTAAGAATGTCTCTTGATTTGTTAATTTTATCAGGAGAAAATTTTCAAAATCAATTTCAATCAATGAACACAAATTTCAATTTGTAATCAATAAATTCTAATTAAAAATATGTTCATTATTTCCATTTCTAAATATTTTATTTTTCTAATATATGCTTCAGCAGTCTTTTGTGTCTCTATGGGAATAATTAAAAATCCTTTTGTCTTTATGGTAACACTTAATTATCCTTGTCTCCATGGTAACACTTTATAATTCTTTTCTCTATGGTAAAACTTTATAATCCTCTTGTGTCTACAGTAATACTTTATAATCCTTTTGTCTCTATGGTAACACTTTATTATCCTTTTGTCTCTATGGTAACACTTTATAATTCTTTGTCTCTATGGTAACAGTGTATTATCCTTCAGTCTCTATGGTAACACTTTATAATCCTCTATCACTTGTACAGTAGCCATTGACTAAGCATAGTAAACTGACCTTCAGGATGAACAAAAAGAAGAGTTGGCACACCAGCAATGCCAAGTATCTCTGTCAGGTCCACCAACTTATGGTTCCCCTCGTCATATTTCCTGGAGTGACCTAGAGAAAGAATATGGACTTAATAATTGCCATATTACAAATATTGCAATATTGGTAATCATCTCAAAAGACATTAATTGTAAAATGACATTAAGACATTTAAAAGTATTTTGCTTGGGACATAATCAACCAAACCATTTGCCAAGATATGCCTTTTCTTTGTCCAAAAACTGGCACTTATCTACACTTATTTGGAGTTTAGCCTGTCAATTCCATTGTTTCTGATATGTGATACATGCAGAAACAATTTGACATTCATTATTTTAAATTGTAGTGCCATCATCCTGAATATCAAACCATATGACAGATCTAAAAAAAAAAAAAAAAGTTTGGACAGGATACTGACCAGCAATGGAGTTACTAGTGGCCTCATGAATGGAGGAGGCACATTGACTGGTACAATGCCACAGGACATTGTCGGCACGGTAACCATTGGTGGTGATCTGGTGGATTAGAGCCTTCCTCTCAGTGGCACCCATAGCGTCCACACCACAGGTCACAGCTATGTAGTTGTACTGAAAGGTCAAGGTCACAATTTATAGTTTTAATGAAAAGTCAAGGTCATTGTAAGCAATGGAACATTACTATCCTTCAGTAGGTTTCCTGACTAGAGAATGTAACAGAGAAAATTCTATTACCGGTACATTTTTATTTGATTTTCAATTTTTTTTTAAAGATGTATCATAGATTTTTAAAAAAGCATGAAGTTATATTCATTATTATATAGATTGTAAATGGTACACCATGTACCTGGTATAATTACTTGGTAATTGGGAAGGTATGATTTCTTTGGGAATATAAACAGACTCACCTCCGTGGAGAATTCCCGAGCAAACCTGACAAAATTGGCCATCATCCTTTGAGAAGACAAACACCTGTAAAATAAAGATAGAAATTAATATTTTTCCTGGCGAATGTAACAACAAATGAACACACAATGGTAACGAATACCTAATCTTCTATACAGAGTAGATGCAAACGTGATACTATGATACCTGTTTTAGTGGTCAATTTATACACATATGCGGCACACACACTTACCAAGGTGTCCAGAACAGAACAACAGTGGGGAATTGTTTGTTGTGTGTCCCCATGAAGGGTTTGTATTCTCCATCAAACACGTCGAGCAGACTACAGGATGGTGGGGGAACCTTCTTCTTCAGGAGTCCCTGGTTGGCTAATTTCTTGGCAAGTTGTCTTTCATAATTGATAGAATCTAGATATTTACAGCATCCAGTGCTGGGCCATCTGTAAACAAGAGGAGAAAGACATGTCTACAGATATTTACAGACAGTTGCATTCATCAGTTCTTCTGACTATGAACATCAACAGATACATATCCTCTTGATCTTGTACAGGAAACATTCCTACCACAAACCCAGTATAAAATCTCCCTCTACAGACAACAATCTACAACACTAGACTAGTATGAAGAGGTCAAAAGATATTTTTCCTGTATGAAACCCTGGCTTTACTAACACGTTTATTGTCAGGAAGATTTATCCCGGCATGTATGATATTGGTAAAAGCAAGTTTAATATCATTATACTCAGTTATCAACCGAGAAATGAAACTATGTTGCTTTTAAAATTCTCCCAAATGTATCATCAAATGACAAACCTTCTTAAACGATAGATACACTTTTGACTGACAGGTAATGGATCAAACGGTCCATTTGATGTTTTTATGGTGAAAATGAAGAGTTTATTGTTGATATTCAACTAGACACATGAGATTTCTATCCTGGATACTGTTGGAGAAATCTGAGGATGATACAGGAAGGAAATACAGAGAAAGATATCTGATGTTTATAAGGTGGGAGTCAATGAAGACACATTATCTTTGTAAGGGAGATACCTAAGAAGGCACAGGAGATTTATAATATAGATGCCAATGAAGACACTTACAGAGAAAGACACAATTTGTTTATTGGGTAGGTAGACTTACCTGATGTTTTTCTGATGGATACTGTGGTAGCAGTAGAAGGCAAAAGGACGGAAGTTTTCTGACAGCAGTTCTATAGAGTTGGATTCTTCACTAGTTGCGTGTGGCTTTTCTGTCATCGATACCATGCTCAGTCTGTACTTGGGCTGGTCTACTGGCAACTGTCAGGGGCACATAAACCACAAGTTAAAACTTTGACAGATATTTCTTAATTTTTAATCCCTTATCCCATGCTAACATTCATTTATCATTAATACAAAATTGATTTAATAAGCAGATAAATGTAATCCATTGTTTTCTTTTATGTTTTTCAGTTTTTGATATTACTATAAAAATTAACAAAATCAATTGAACATTTATTTCCATTTCAACAAAATTGTTCCCTTTTTACAAAAATTCTTAATATCCAGTGTAGTATGATACACCTGTTACTGAGAAGAAAGTCATAATTTGAAGCAACATGTATAAACTTCCAATCTGACCTCACTCTGACCCCATTTGACCTTCCTGACCCCTGTTGTTCCTACATCACCTCTATACCTTGTTCAGTATACTTACACTAATCCTGATGGAGCGGACACCATCATGCATTGGACTGCCATATTGTTTACCATCGATAAGGACCTTGTATCCAGCAATTTGGAAGTCCGGTCTGGACTGAGGACACTGCCAGCTGATGTGAGCTGTGAGCTGACCTGTAACATAATCAACCACATAATTGGGACTGGGTTTTGTTTCCAATTTGTTCAATCCATCCTTTATGACAGACAGATTGTTTCACTTCAATTGAAATCGTGGGGTGCTGGAGTCTATTGGTGATTGGGCATCACTGGTTTATTTCATACGAGTGCTTGAACAGTGAATCATGTTAATAGTGAGAGATAGTGAGAGATAGTGAGAGATTCCTTAAAGATATATCACCATTACAGTTTTAAGGTAGATGATAAATATGAATTTCCCTTTTCAGGGATGTGTGATATATACCTGTGAAGTGTTCCATGGCTTGGAAACACTGCTCGAGATATTCCTCTACCCTTGTCAAAGTGTGGGCACCCTCTATCACTTCACGGTTCTTTTCTGCCCTCAAGGGGTGGGAGAGAGCACCAATCTCCTTCAGCTTGTGACCAACCTTCCTTATCAGCCTGCAATTATATATCAATTTTTTTACAATGGTTTTATTTTTTACCAGAAATGGTTGATAATTAACATGTACTTTGGTTTGTGTCTTGTATAAAACAGATTCACTAAATATAGCCTGGTTGATATCTATAAATTTAAGACTTAATACATGCATTACTCTTCCTAAAGCCTAGTCCTCATCTGTTGTAAGTAAGTGATGTTTGTTTGATGAAGACAGCTTTGACTTACCTGTCTCTCTTGTTGACAAGATCACAGGTGACTTTCTCCAGTTGTCTCCTCTCATCCAGTCCCACCACTGTCACTGTGACCCGGGGTGGATCAGGGGCTGGAGCGGGCTGAACCCTAAGTATATCAGACCGGATCACATCATTGGTTCCATACAACTGTGCGAATAGAAATATATATATAATACACAGAAAGGTGGGAATAGACATATATGCTATACGCAGAAATGTATATGTATGTACATTTATTCATGCCTTTGGTAAAAAATTTTACAACTTCAGGTGATTTTCTGTCAGTGTAAATGGTAAGTATTGAAAAGTTGATGCATTGTGTTTTATTTGTCGTTATTTACTGAATCTGATGGTAAAAAAATTGGTAAGATTGACATTATGGGATAGGATAAGAGGGCATAATTCACAATAATCCTGATTTGAATTTCATCTGATCTACCCTTATATGATAAGGCAATCTGAAATTTTAAATGCTTTCCAAAGTGGAAACACAATTAAACTTTGGGTTTTTCTGAATAAGATATTTGCAGGAAAAATATACTGATGGCTTGATAATTGGAGCATGTAACCACCAAAGACAAGATCAATGTTTAACATGTCACTACTTTCCTAAACAACTGTTCCACTCCTTTTCTCCCCAAAATATGTGTTTACTTACATGTACTTCCAAGAGAATAGTGTATACTCTGTTCTTGAGGTTGTTGAACTCAACTTCACGACTTTCTGGATGGATTGGGAAGTCATACACCACTTTATTTGTAGCCTCCTCAGTACATATACCCTGTAATATATATTTAATCCTTTAATTACTGTTTCAACTGCACACAGCTTTCTTAAAATCTTTTTTAAAAAGTCAAAATTCAGATAAAACCTAACATACAAATAAATTTCTGAATTATCTTAAGTTAAGATCACTAGTCTCAGTAAAGCTTAGGACTCTCACCCTGAAATGTTTGACTTTGGCCCCGTCGGACATGTTGAGGTCGTCCCAGCCAATACGTATGACAGAACTGCTGTGTGTGGGCAGTCGGTGGAGATGTGGACTCATGGCGCCTGGCCAGACGATCGTCAATGGTTCAGACACCTTACTATTTAGGCGTTCTATCGCTGTCAGAGCCTACAATAGGAAGAAGCAAGATTACTAAATGGAAATTACATAAAAAACTATTTATCAAGTAACAAAATCCCTGGATCTTCCACCTGTGTAAGTATCACCACCTTTGTAATTTACAACCATAATGAATTGCGAAATTAACAAGATACATAGATACAGTTAAGAAAAATTTGAATTAATCTACAAAATGATCCATAGATATAGAGGTCAGGATCCAGATCTGAGATAGAAAGTATATGAAATCTAATCAACCGGCAGATATAAAAGTAGACTATGTATCAAGGTACCATGTCTAGGGTGGTACCAATATTTGTTACTCAAAGAAACAGAAAGATGGCAACGTCAAGATTTCTGCATCAATATTATTTTTATTCTAAATGAAAATATAAAGGTATGTATGCCATCTATATTTCAGTAACAGGTGGAGCTTGTTTTTCTTTAACAGTTAAAGGACATACCTGGACCTGGAATGTATACTCGTGACACCACTTGCCCTCGGTGTAGGTATAGCTAGTTTGGTCTGCGTTGAGTGTATGTACAATGATGCCATTGACAAACACCTTGTAGCCTGTTACTAAAGCATCACCATATGTTGTAGGCTTCTCCCATTGGACGGAAATGTAACGGAAGTTACATGCCCTGAGAAATAAATTAATATCTATTGTCAACCAATTTGTTTATCTACATTGTCAGTATGTAATTGGTGTAAAATCAAACAAAATATTGCTGTTTGATGAAATACAAAATACATCTTATTTCGCTACGTCACTTTCTTACTTATGGTTTTGAGAGTGAGAGAAATGAAAACATTTTGGAATCATCCTTGTCCATACCTGACTGTCATAATGGGAGCCTCTGGAGGAGCAGATGTCTGTATAGTCAGCTGTCTCGACCGTTCAAGCTCTTTACCCTGTTCATCCAGGACAATAAGGCGGACAAAGTGAGTGGTACCAGGAAGGCAGTTGTTGATTATACAACTGTTATTGTCTCTCTCCAAGTTCAGTGACCTTTGCTGTAAACAGAGAAAACACATTATCAGTATTTAGCTACATGAGAGTCAACTGTTATATTCATGGTGAATACTTGAGACACATACAGGTATCTGAGATATTCATGGTAAATACTGGGGAGACACATACAGGATCTGAGATATTCATGGTAAATACTGGAGAGACACATACAGGATATGTGATATTCATGGTAAGTACTGGAGAGACACATACAGGATATGTGATATTCATGGCAAATACTGGGGAGACACATACAGGATCCGGGATATTCATGGCAAATACTGGGGAGACACATACAGGATATGTGATATTCATGGTAAGTACTGGAGAGACACATACAGGATCTGTGATATTCATGGTAAGTACTGGAGAGACACATACAGGATCTGAGATATTCATGGCAAATACTGGAGAGACACATACAGGATATGTGATATTCATGGTAAGTACTGGAGAGACACATACAGGATCTGTGATATTCATGGTAAATACTGGGGCGACACATACAGGATCTGTGATATTCATGGTAAATGCTGGGGAGACACATACAGAAACTGATATGAGCCTACTGCTGCTCCAGAGAAATTGGGCTCAAACTGCAGCAACTGGAGAAAAAAATGTCATGAACATAACTACCAGGTAGATTTCATGTACCATGTCCTGAAGAAATATCTGAGATAGACAGCATTTTATTAATCTTAAGGTTTTTAAATTCAAATTCTCAAAATCATAAGACAAGTTGTAGGTCCATTGGGATGATTGGACAAGTGACCCAATACCTTTTCTCGTCCAATCAGGAAATTAGAACCCAGCCATGTTTGTGAAAGGCAGGTATGCTTGATAGCATTGCCATTCTCTTCCTTCCTTGACCACAGGGTAATGATTTTTGTGGAGATACTGATGTCACAATACAATACTATAACAGGTGAAATTTGTTCTAAAGACTTGTACGTCATCACACTGAATGCAGGTCGCAGTAGAGATACACGTCATATCATCAGGGTAAAGTTTGCAGTCAAGAAATTCAGGTAAATATTACAAAGTTAGAGTTCTGACTAGAGAAGACATTTAAGTTAATGCTATTGAACAGTTAGAGTTGGGTCTTCAGACAAGAGTGCAGAGGTATATTCTGTGGGGTGCAGTTATAGCTATCTATTCTTTCACTGAAGAGGAAATGTCATCTACACTGAAAAAATGGCTTCTTCCAAGAAAAGACATGGTGTATGAATGGGACTGAAAATAAAGGTATAGATATACAGTAAACTGTATAATTTACATAGTGATTGAGGAAAAGTGAGTTAATGACCAAATGATGTCCAATAATGAAGTATTTACAGGTGTGATAATGAATATTTTAACTGTTGGGCATGTCTATGTACATAGATTGGTGTCATAAATACCAATATGTTGTAAATAACAGAATAATAACTGGAATAAAACAGTGTTAACGTCATTCACGACAGGTATCAGGTATAATCATATGATGATATATAGTACAGATTGTTGTATAATATTGATAGTACTGAAGGATAATATAACTTTGTGTTCATCTGAACATGCAGATAAGATCTATTCTAAATCATGCTGTTAGGGACTATGGTATGGTTATACTTCTGTGTCAGTATCTAGAAAAATTATACATTCTAACAAAGGGCTGTAACTCTGTATAAAGTGTTGCTTCTATGTTTTATCAACCCAAGAGGCCACAATAGGTCAAAGTTTAATATATTCTCAAACCAACTGACAGATGGAGTATAACCTTTTACAGTACCAAATGATGAATAAAAGCATTTCTGTTTGTTTAAATGTAAAATTACTAAACCAGTCTCATGCTTTACTCTATACTTTAGGTCAGATCTCCTGAGCATACAAGTATCCCCCCTGATGTGACACATGTAACTAGTGTCTATATCAGCCTGCTGGTGAGGTGTTGGCACTGGGTTAGAAGGTCCCAAATCTATCAGTAACATGTTAGATACTACAGTTCTCCTGCTCTATAAACTATCGAGAAAAATACTTCACTTTTCCTCTCTTGGATTTCTTCTGTAAAATGTGAAAACAGTCAAGTAAACAGAAAGAATGCTTTTTATTATATATTTTTCAATTTTCATTCACACAAAATATCATCGTGCATATTACTGAAAGTCTAACCTAGAGTGCATCACAGACACTGTCTTACCTTGTAGATGTTGGTATGCAAATTTTGAACTCTCTTTTTAACATTGACATCAATGATAAAATTACACCTTTATTAGCTTACCTTTCAGCTGTAACCTATATATAGGCCATGTGCTTGTTAACTTCAAAATGTTGAGTGCTTTGTTAAAAATCAATTTAATAACAGTATAATGTGAACTTCTAAAAGCAATTAAAATCATAAATTATTAATGAAAAAAATATTAATGCACTTCTGTGAACAAAGTTAGAATTAATGGAAACCTGTATATGAGATGGTATCAGAGTGGTACTCACTGTGGGCTGGGCAACACTGCTCCATTCTATCCTGTATCCAGCGACCTCCTCCACCTCTAGGTAACGACTCCAGTCTAGGTGTATGCTTGTATCTGTGATCTGGGCCACCTTTACCGGTACATCTGTATCATCAGTCTGCCACTCCTCCAGGGCACGGGCTTGGCGGGGCGAGTGAAGTGAGGTATTGACCAGGAGGACATTGGACTTGAGTGAATCCTCGTACTCCGGTTTGGAACTCAGCGCCACCAGGTTGATTTTGTAGGTCCTGAAACAAAAGTATGGATAACTTGAATGAAGAATATGCTGCCTTATACAAAATTTGTTCTTTTTGTATTATTAGGTTTACAAAGCTGATGAAATTGGGACACGAGTCTTAGTAGATTATACATACACATAATGGACACAAGTTATAACACCTGATTGTAATGGAATCTACCGGTGTAAAATAAAACTGTATAAAGTCAGTTTCTAACTTTGTCTTTAAGAATATTTTTATGCAGTACCACACATTGCAAATATTCTTGTTTTTTATGAGTTTAATATTTCCGCTATTTCCTGTAGGCTTCATATTTCCACTATTTTAATGGGTTTCATATTTCCATTATTTTTAATTGGTTTCATATTTCCATTATTTTTAATGGGTTTCATATTTCCACTATTTTTAATGGGTATCATATTTCCACTATTTTTAATGGGTTTCACATTTTTACTATTTTCAACCTGAATTTCATGAAAATAAAATCTCTTGTGCTTTAACTTTTTGAAAACAACACAGAGAAAAAATAACCTGAAGTGCTAAGTCAGCAAAAAAAAACACTTACTTGTTGGGTCTACATGGTATAACTGCTTTCCTGTGAGATGGACTCAACTCATTGCCAGCTCGCTTATCATTCATGTACACCTGGAACACATTTTGATCAAATTAATCTAATCTGAATTATTTCATGTAAACTTTTAAAATGAGACACCACATCAATCACCAAATACATTGTATAATATACATAAATGTGGAAGGTAGCATATAGCCTTAAGTGATCAAAATAAATATTTGACACTTTTTTTTGGTTTAACCAACGCTTTAATACCTGGTATCCACGGACTTTGACTCCACCCCAAAGCTTGGGTTCACCCCATTCAATGACAAACTCCTCAGGGGTGACAGATTTGAGGAAGATCTCTGGGGCATCTGGTGGACCTGGAATCACTATCTGTACACTCTGGGCTTTGTGGGGGAGTGTCTCTGTGTAGTAGTTTGGCTCAACAGTGATCTGGTACACAGACCTGGAGAAACACATCATACTCTCATGTACTCAAAATTTTAAAAAAAGTATTATCCAAAAAGAATTTTTTCAAAAATTTCAAATCCAAAGGCATATGAAACATTTTCAATCAAACTGAAATATTTTCGCATTTAACTAAATTTGACTTGAATTTTTTTTCCTGGAAAACGATCCCTGAAGTAGGTTTTGCTGCACAACAATGAAAACATTAGTGACTTACTTGAGCCTTTCCACAGGTATTGACAGCAGACGGGCGCTGGCACTGGCACCTCGCACCTGTCGCACAGTATCCTCATCCTCAATCATATAATGAATGTTAAAGTCTTTGATCAAAGTAGCCTCCCCTTGGATAGTCCACTCAACACGGATCTCCCCAAACATGTTTATTTCTGTGTCTTCCACATGCCTGAATGTTGCCTTGACAGAAGCTATGTAACCTGGAACATTGTATTACAAAATCAATTTTGAGGAAACATCTATCTGTGTAAATATCATAAGATTTTGGAAAGTTGCTTACAACTAAAAATATAATTATTGTGCTATCTAATATAGGACATCTAATAAATTACATTCCCAAATTACAGAAATTCTGATTAATCCTCATAGTTTTTCATCATCAGGATGAGATTGACTTGGCAATTAAATTTACCAGCCTCGTGAGAGTTACCTTGCTGTTAAGAGTTACCAGGCTTGTAAGTTTTACCTGGCTGTTAGATTTATCAGCCTTGTGAGTTTAACTTGGCTGTTCGAGATTTAAATACTTGACATTTTTTCATTTTCTACAGTAACAACACTTTAATACCTATCCATGTACTTTGACTCATTTAACACTTTTTTTTTTAAAGTTTTCTGGCTGTGAGATTTAAATTTCAGTTAGATTTAACAACATTGTGAGATTTATGTGACTGTTCCATTTATCAGCCTTGCGAGAAATATCTAGCAATTAGATTTATTTTCTAAACTTGTGAAATTTACCTGGTTGTATCCTTGGAAGTATCATTTCCACATCATCAGAAGGTGAAGGGTCAAGATTATCCTCATCGTTAAGCAGTGTTGAGTAATCAAGCTCCTCCTTGTTTTGCTGGGCATAGAATCCCTTATACTGTAAAAAAGCAATTAGTAAATTAGTTATCTTTGACTGTGTCAGTTGTGTGACATATAATTTACCATACAGGTTTTTACAGCCAGTGTCTATTTTTCTACTATTTTCCCCTTAAGATTGTATAGTGAATATTGTACTGGCAAATTTTTATAGAGAAAGGTAATAGTAAAAATATTACTAAAATTAGATATTCCTAATATGACAACCAATATAGTGCAGGTCTCTATCTATTCTCCGACCCCCTGTAGTCATCGTCACAAAAATCCAATAGTGAAGTATTTCAGAATTGTCATTTACGATGAAACAAGCTTTACTGTTTAACTTAACTTCCACTAAATTGGTGGCCGTTAGTTTAAGCAGACTCAATTCTACAATCACGGGTTATATATATCTATCATTGTGATGATACCTTTTTCTTTCTCTCTTTCTTGCCTTCGTCTGTACAGGTCAAGGCCAAAAGTCGGACAGTGTACTCCTTTCCTGGTCGACACTTTTTCAGAGAGCAGCTCTGTCTGGTGGGACCAAGACAACAGTGAGTTGCTCCATTGATCTCCAGCTTGTACCCTTCCAAGTAACGTCGAATGTACTTCGGCTTGCCGTCCTCCTCACGACCAATGGCCGACACAAGGCGTGGCTTCTCCCAGTAAAGCTGGGCTGTGTCCTGCGTAAACTCAGTGATATAAAGAGAGGGAGCTTCAGTAGGGGCACGTGACCTACAGTACAGGGCCTTGGACATCACATGGGCTATCCGACGGTATTTTTCAGTGTCCTTGTCGTTGGTATCCACCAGAGATGTCTTTACACTTACCACAGCCTCCACTACAACCTTGTACTGAGTGCCTGGTACAAGATCAATAATGTTGGTTTGGGTGTCTCTTGGATCCAAAGTCTTATAACTGGACATTTGGACCTCATCGACACCCTTCTTAGCATTTTTCACATCTGTCCATCTCACGATAATGTTTTTGAGTTGGTTTGAGCCGTAAACTATGGGAGATATCCATGACAATGTCATGGAGGTCGTTGTAGCTTTGGTGACCTTGAGATTTGCTGGAGGTTCTGTGCCAGCCGTCCTCTCTATAATGTAGTTGCTAGGTAACCATGGTGATTCCATGGGTGGCACCATAACATCGCGTGGCAAAACCTTTGCCTTTTTGAACTTGTGTTTTTCAGGAAGACGGTCAAAGTATTCATCTGTTACAGCGGTAACACGTATAAGGTATTCTGTTTTTTCTTTGAGGCCTTCAATATCTATAGAAACAGCATCGGGCAGAGCATCATAGCTAATATGGTGAGGCTCATTCTTGGCCATGGAGACAGCATCAATACGAACACCTACAAATATAACACATTTCAAATTAAAAGAACATCACACCAGTGTTTCCAGATTTAAACTATGGATACTTTTTACGTAAAGAAAGTTTTTGGACTAGCCAGGGCCATTTCAAGGCAGGGTCTCCTTGTCAAAGTGTTTGGCTACCTCACTGAACATTGTGCAAAAGGACTGTCACATTCTATCCATAGTGATTAGGGTACAGTGTTTTGCCCTAAGATGAAATCATGGCAGTCCACCATGGTTAAGGATGGAACCACACATCTCAGATCTTCACCTGAGATAGAATTGGTCTCATGTTCTACCAACAGTCCTGACTCAGGTTAAGTATATAAGATAATACATTTTACATTAACAGGTAAGATAAACCTTGGCATTTCATTCAATACATTTTTTTCAAAAAATATATATATTTCTTAAATTTAATGATAAATTATTTAACAGTCATTAACACAAACCCTTTGTTTCTATATGTAGATTGAATGACACTTAGATATACCAAAAATAAACAGAATAAGTTGTATAGCCTACCGATAACACTGGCACCATGTTCTCTGGGTGGGTTCCAGGCTACTCTCAGACTGTTACAGGTGTTAGCACTGACACCTAAGTGAGATGGTTTACTGGGTGGTTTAGCTGTCTTCAAGGTCAGGTAATCAGATGTCGCAGTCAAGGTGAAGGTGTTTTTAGTCTCCTCCTCCGGAACATCCGCTGAAGAAAACAATTTTTGCTTAATTAAAGCACTAAAAAATATATATCTATAAGAATTTGAAGTTATTTTGAAAAATTTTAATAAATTATCAAAAACATGAATATGCTGTTTTTTTATTTGTACTGTTTGTATTTCTATCTTACCTGAACTGACTTATTGTTATCAGAATATTAAGCAAACATTAAAGATCTACTTTACAACCAGCAATAATAGGTATTTCAGAATCTGTGGACAAATTCTGATAAAGTGTAAAAAGATATGTTTATATTAGAATTAAGATTATGCAGATGATCTATCAATTTATTTGCTACCAACAACATTAAGTCAAACTTGTCTATAAAGGCCACCAAAGGGAGCAGAGAAAAGTGGCCTTTATATACAGGTGGCTTCGGTATAAAAGTGGCCTTTAAAACAAGTTTGAAGGTATATTGTTAGATGAAGTTTTTTTTATTGTTTTCAGGACCTTACATTAAGTATTGTAAAACAGATAAAAAGTCAAACTACCTTGGTCTTCTTCGGTTGCCTCATTCTTCATGATCTCTGTCTTGACCGCATCCACCACAACAGTGTAGGTGGTGTCTGACCGCAGTCCAGAGATCAGTAGCCGGTTTTCTGAAGGTATAAACAATTCATCATCATTCTCTTATATATCACTTACTGTACAGTTTCAGATTGAAGCAAGTCTCTGCTGCAATTGTTACTGTCAGAACAAAATTCTTTTCATTTAAGACGAAAAAAAAACCAACCCAAAAAACCCAAAAAATGAATTTTTATTAGTAGAGCCAATTTTCTTACAAGAAAATCCACAAATTTGATGCCTTCTTATCAAAAAACAAACATGGAAAGTGAGTTAACTTGTGGAATCAATATTTGCAGACACTGAATATTTTTCAAGTTTTGAATGAAATACTAAGGTACTATAAAAGATAAATTGACAACTACTGTGAAACATTTCCAATCTGAGTCGTGAGCGTTCAGTCACATTTAGAGTATTCTAACTGTTACTTCTACATCACTCTGATTCTGTCACATCTACAGTACTCTGACTCTGTCACATCTACAGTAATCTGGCTCTGTCACATCTACAGTACTCTGTCACATCTACAGTGCTCTGTCATTTCTGCAGGTCTCTGTCATTTCTGCAGGTCTCTGTCACATCTACAGTACTCTGTCACATCTACAGTAATCTGACTCTGTCACATCTACAGTACTCTGACTCTGTCACATCTACAGTACTCTGACTCTGTCACATCTACAGTACTCTGTCACATCTACAGTACTCTGACTCTGTCACATCTACAGTACTCTGACTCTGTCACATCTACAGTACTCTGACTCTGTCACATCTACAGTACTCTGACTCTGTCACATCTACAGTACTCTGACTCTGTCACATCTACAGTACTCTGACTCTGTCACATCTACAGTACTCTGTCTCTGTCACATCTACAGTACTCTGACTCTGTCACATCTACAGTACTCTGACTCTGTCACATCTACAGCACTCTGTCACATCTACAGTACTCTGACTCTGTCACATCTACAGTACTCTGTCTCTGTCATGTCTACAGTACTCTGTCACATCTACAGTACCCTGATTCTGTCACATCTACAGTACTCTGACTCTGTCACATCTACAGTACTCTGTCACATCTACAGTACTCTGTCTCTGTCACATCTACAGAACTCTGTCACATCTACAGTACTCTGTCTCTGTCACATCTACAGTACTCTGTCACATCTACAGTACTCTGTCTCTGCCATGTCTACAGTACTCTGTCACATCTACAGTACTCTGACTCTGTCACATCTACAGTTTTCTGATTCTGATATAGAACTAACACCATTATTTTGTTTCTTATAAAATATCACAACTAAAAACCTCTGTATTCTGACAATATTTTGTTGGATTCCACCAGATGTTGGATTGCACAGGTATCTGTGTTTAACACATCAGACACATCGAAATTGAGTAATTTGGCATCTTTGAAATAACACATCTGAATTTTTTTTTTGAAATTGCAGTCCCACTTAAACTTTTACTGAAACTGATAACTACATGCTATTGGTGATAGCAAACACTTATTTTCTGCAACGAATGAATTTTTGTTACCTGTAGTTTCATCAGAAACAATGTTGTCAACAGGTTCCTCTCCGGGCCACCATCGGACTCGGAAACTTTCTGGGCGCACAAAATGGAATCTTGTATCGTCTGTCAAAAAACAGAGAAGATTGTCACTATATACAACAATATCATAATAATGATTCTGATATAACAAAATTGGTCCAAATCAAGGTTTGAGGAAAGCTTGTAAGCAATGAAGATCCAGGCTTCCATTGCCTTCACCAATGTCCAAACATCACTTCATTTGAGGAAAGCTTGTAAGCAATGAAGATCCAGGCTTCCATTGCCTTCACCAATGTCCAAACATCACTTCATTTGAGGAAAGCTTGTAAGCAATGAAGATCCAGGCTTCCATTGCCTTAACCAATGTCCAAACATCACTTCATTTGAGGAAAGCTTGTAAGCAATGAAGAGCCAGGCTTCCATTGCCTTCAACACCAACACAATATTGTATCAAATTTTCACTTTTTATAGGAAATAACATGAATTCTTCAGTAAAAACAGGAAGACTTATTAAAGAAATCAAAATAAAATTCCTGAATTCAATTTCAACCAACTCGAGGTTATAAATCAAACCGTAAGTTCTTTGAGAATAAGTTAGTTTTTAGGAGTGAATTTATGAAAGGTAGATACATGAACCAAATCCTATTCATAAACACACTGTCAAGATTTGAGCCTAAAGTTCTTGATATCCTTGTTCAGTTACAAGGATAACATTTATCAATACAGAAGTCTCGAACTTAAACCTTACCTTGATGACAAAGAGCTCAGTTTCCAAACCAATCCTAGTCTTAACAGTATATTGAAAATCTTCAGCATTATGAGAAAGCTTTGAAACATGTGTTAGACTTGTTTCATATCTTATTGTGTATAAGTGTATAGCCGTAACAGATAAGGTATATCAGTAGTGAGATTTATTCCATTTTTCCAGCCCCATCTGTATAAATCTGTGTAATGAATGTGTCTCTATACACAATTTCTAACCTAACATCACCTATTATTGGGCGTTAAGGGATTGGAAATCCTTTACACATCAGAGATATTTAAATCAAACATACTATGCCTAATATATGGTCTGTACATCTCCTCTATGGCAGAATAGACTTTACAGGACAATAAATCACATCCAACAATAACGCATGTTATAATTCAAACTAGAATGCATACATGCAAAAAAAATAATTTGATGTATCTACAGAAATTCTATAATTTAGACCTGTCAGTCTTTTAGAACCATCGGCAGAAGACAACAATATTGTCGGTAATTCTTATGGGGAATCATCGCATTGAGCTTTTATTTCATAGAGCCTATTGACAGGTATTGAATTTCTATGGGAAGGAAATCAGTGACTGTAAGTGAATTTCTATGGGAAGGAACTGAGTGACTGTAAGTGAATTTCTATGGGAAGGAAATTTGTGACTGTAAGTGAATTTCTATGGGAAGGAAATTTGTGACTGTAAGTGAATTTCTATGGGAAGGAACTGAGTGACTGTAAGTGAATTTCTATGGAAAGGAAATTAGTGACTGTAAGTGAATTTCTGTGGGAAGGAACTGAGTGACTGTAAGTGAATTTCTATGGGAAGGAACTGAGTGACTGTAAGTGAATTTCTATGGAAAGGAAATTAGAGACTGTAAGTGAATTTCTATGGGAAGGAAATTAGTGACTGTAAGTGAATTTCTATGGGAAGGAAATTAGAGACTGTAAGTGAATTTCTATGGAAAGGAAATTAGTGATGGAATTTCTGTGGGAAGGAACTGAGTGACTGTAAGTGAATTTCTATGGGAAGGAACTGAGTGACTGTAAGTGAATTTCTGTGGAAAGGAAATTTGTGACTGTAAGTGAATTTCTATGGGAAGGAACTGAGTGACTGTAAGTGAATTTCTATGGGAAGGAACTGAGTGACTGTAAGTGAATTTCTGTGGAAAGGAAATTTGTGACTGTAAGTGAATTTCTATGGGATGGAACTGAGTGACTGTAAGTGGATTTCTATGGGAAGGAACTGAGTGACTGTAAGTGAATATCTATGGGAAGGAAATCAGTGACTGTGAGTGAATTTTTATGGGAAGGAACTGAGTGACTGTAAGTGAATATCTATGGGAAGGAAATCAGTGACTGTGAGTGAATTTTTATGGGAAGGAAATTAGTGACTGTAAGTGATTTTCTATGGAAAGGAAATTAGTGACTGTAAGTAAATTTCTATGGGAAGGAAATTTGTGACTGTAAGTGATTTTCTATGGAAAGGAAATTAGTGACTGTAAGTGAATTTGTATGGGAAGGAAATTAGAGACTGTAAGTGAATTTTTATGGAAAGGAAATTAGTGACTGTAAGTGAATTTGTATGGGAAGGAAATTAGAGACTGTAAGTGAATTTTTATGGAAAGGAAATTTGTGACTGTAAGTGATTTTCTATGGAAAGGAAATTAGTGACTGTAAGTGAATTTGTATGGGAAGGAAATTTGTGACTGTAAGTGATTTTCTATGGAAAGGAAATTAGTGACTGTAAGTAAATTTCTATGGGAAGGAAATTTGTGACTGTAAGTGATTTTCTATGGGAAGGAAATTTGTGACTGTAAGTGAATTTGTATGGGAGGGAAATTAGAGACTGTAAGTGAATTTTTATGGGAGGGAAATTAGAGACTGTAAGTGAATTTGTATGGGAAGGAAATTTGTGACTGTAAGTGATTTTCTATGGAAAGGAAATTAGTGACTGTAAGTAAATTTCTATGTGACTGAAGTGAACTGAAATTAGTGACTGTAAGTGAATTTCTATGGAAAGGAAATTAGTGACTGTAAGTGAATTTCTATGGAAAGGAAATTAGTGACTGTAAGTGAATTTTTATGGGAGGGAAATTAGAGACTGTAAGTGAATTTGTATGGGAAGGAAATTTGTGACTGTAAGTGATTTTCTATGGAAAGGAAATTAGTGACTGTAAGTAAATTTCTATGGGAAGGAAATTTGTGACTGTAAGTGAATTTGTATGGGAGGGAAATTAGAGACTGTAAGTGAATTTGTATGGGAGGGAAATTAGAGACTGTAAGTGAATTTTTATGGAAAGGAAATTAGTGACTGTAAGTGATTTTCTATGGAAAGGAAATTAGTGACTGTAAGTAAATTTCTATGGGAAGGAAATTTGTGACTGTAAGTGATTTTCTATGGAAAGGAAATTAGTGACTGTAAGTGAATTTGTATGGGAAGGAAATTTGTGACTGTAAGTGATTTTCTATGGAAAGGAAATTAGTGACTGTAAGTGAATTTGTATGGGAGGGAAATTAGAGACTGTAAGTGAATTTTTATGGAAAGGAAATTAGTGACTGTAAGTGATTTTCTATGGAAAGGAAATTAGTGACTGTAAGTGAATTTGTATGGGAAGGAAATTAGAGACTGTAAGTGAATTTTTATGGGAAGGAAATTAGTGACTGTAAGTGATTTTCTATGGAAAGGAAATTAGTGACTGTAAGTGAATTTCTATGGAAAGGAAATTAGTGACTGTAAGTGAATTTTTATGGAAAAGAAATTAGTGACTGTAAGTGAATTTGTATGGGAAGGAAATTAGTGACTGTAAGTGAATTTGTATGGGAAGGAAATTAGAGACTGTAAGTGAATTTTTATGGAAAGGAAATTAGTGACTGTAAGTGAATTTGTATGGGAGGGAAATTAGAGACTGTAAGTGAATTTTTATGGAAAGGAAATTTGTGACTGTAAGTGATTTTCTATGGAAGGGAAATTAGTGACTGTAAGTGAATTTCTATGGGAGGGAAATTAGTGACTGTAAGTGAATTTGTATGGGAAGGAAATTAGTGACTGTAAGTGAATTTTTATGGAAAGGAAATTAGTGACTGTAAGTGAATTTTTATGGAAAGGAAATTAGTGACTGTAAGTGAATTTTTATGGGAAGGAAATTAGTGACTGTAAGTGAATTTTTATAGAAAGGAAATTTGTGACTGTAAGTGAATTTTTATGGAAAGGAAATTAGTGACTGTAAGTGAATTTTTATGGAAAGGAAATTAGAGACTGTAAGTGAATTTTTATGGAAAGGAAATTAGTGACTGTAAGTGAATTTTTATGGAAAGGTGTGACATGACTCTTAGTGAGCTTTAATGGGAAGGTACTTGGTGAATCTCAGTGAACACTTTAATATTTGCAAAAGGTTTATAATACTACAATGTAAAGACTCATAGCATAATATATGTACAACAAACCATTGTCATTCATCGGTTTTACCTATAGGACCTTGGTGCTTAGTTTATAAAATAAGGGCTTGAAAGCCGACTAATGTTATTGTGCTTTCTGATGAAAACTTTTAAAATACAGACGAATTGGTTTGTCCCCATAAAGGAACAGCCCTCTGGTGCCTGGACAGTTTCAGCCAGTGTTGTAGGTATAGGTGATCAGAAGTTATTGTATATAACAGGTACGGTCAATGTTTGACCAGTAGATACGGGTGATTAAGGGTTATAGATATGACAGGTATATTACATGTGATCGATATTTACCCAGGTAAATGGTTGGTGCGGTAACACTTTCACTGTTGACAGTAGCAACACTTAGTCACCATACGACCATTCATGATGTTTACCCACACTGACTTCAAACATCTCATACTCTCAGCTGAAAACTCTATACATCTGTACTCAAACAGAAACATTGGAGACTGCCTAACCACAAGTACATCCCATCACAGTCTACTCATTACTTTCTTGGTACTACAGGTATAATGTTCTTTCCTTGTAACTTTGGGTCACATAATTATTTGCATTAACGCTCTAGAATTTCTTATTTAGAAATAGCTATACCACAATGTTTTGTAAAGACCTCTCTGCTTATGAAATTAATTAAACACAAATTTTGTCCTGATCGTAAAATGAAAGTGACAAAAAAAAAATTATGCTTTTTGAAAGCTTATATATGATTCTTCTTAGTAATAATTGTTAATAAATACTTGTTACTATAAAAAGACGGAGTGGAAGGACATGCCTTAGCTGACAGTTACGTGGAGAAATCTTATTGTCCACTTTTATACTTACAGCAGTTCTTGTAAGGTCAAGAAAAAAGTTCCGCAGAAAAACATGAAAATGTTTTAAATCTAATTTGGACGAACAAAAAAACTTAAAATTATCATATATTGTGAACCCCTAAATGTTCAAAAGAATAATGTTTTACTTATCATTAACCAGACAACCAATCAGAAAACAGCTGATAAACAGAGGTTTACACTCTAATTACAAGATTACCATGGACTTTCATCAGAAGAATAAACTAACACAAACAATAGTTACCTTGAAACTTATAAATATTCCGCCATAATATTTCCTTATATTCAGTGAGGAATCAGTTTCCGTCCATTCCTGTTGTCACTTTCTTGATATAGGTATCACCATGCTTTCTAGTATTGTACACAATTTCACAACCCAAACATATGCATTACTCATTAAACACGACCCATGAACTTGTAATTTCTCTTCATGTACTTATACTGTATCAATTAGATCCATATACAGGGTACAATATACATTCTGGGTAAACACTTCATAGTTTTGTGAGTGGTCAGATACAAAGGTTTTCTAACACACTTTATTCAGGAGCTACTTCTCAGCTATATGGCGTCTTGTTTGATCTAATAGACACACATGCTCCTGGATTAATCCATTGGAGAGTCCACAAAACCAACATTCTGTATCCAAGAATTATTTACATGATAAGATTTGATTAAGACATTCTATTAAACACTGTTGAAATCACAAAAATATTCCTAAAACATTTTACTGAAAATTTCTTCTTAATATCAGGGATGTCCCTGTTAACATCTAGAAAATTATGCACAGAAATCCATAAGGATAATTCAGGGTTTATAATTTCCAATAACTGATCGTCCATGGGTTTTTGGAGAAGTGTAAACAGTGTTGTCTATATGATGTCACTCATACCTCGTCTTGCACAGATACCATGACACTGTAAATATTGTTGTGAACCGACAATCTATCCATTCATAATCCAATCCCTACTGCTGGACAACAATGCGTGTGTGTACACATATATCTGAGCCGTCAACTCTGTATCACTCATCACTCTTTAGTAACACAAATCTGATCCTATTGGAGTTAATATATCTTGCCAACAAAGACACACATAACTTTGAACTATTTGACATCCACTCCATGTGAGTAACTCTATACTTATAATTAAAATGTGTTTAATCGGTTGTTGCAGGCTAATTAACCCTATAGAATAACACGCCTACTTCAATAACTTTTCAATTCAAACTATTGGGACTTAACCATGGGAGATATTTAATAATTTTATTCTTTATTCATCGCGACAAGCCATGATGTTTAAAGGTAATACACTATACATATACTTACTTATTGTGAACCAATAGCCCATTGAAAAACTTTAATGTTTCGGTAAAGAAATTTTTGTCAGTTCAGAAAACGATAAATTCAATATTTTTTCTTTCGGAGATTTGACACAAACTTATTCCTTTAAAATTTTCCCGTTAGAATATGTCATTTTAATCCTATTTTAAAAAGGATATTCAATCTGAGATTTTATCCTGAAAGATTACTGGTAACACAAACTGTAGGACATTGATGTACAGTGTTGGAGGGTTAAGTGAGAGAATGCCTTACACGAGGTGTGTTGTTGTGGCAGTGTGTCACACTATCAGGAAATCTGAGATATGTTTGAACATCCATACAGATCTAAGTATATATACAAGACAATGCAAACAAACCAAGAACCTTTTAAAAGACAAACAACAAGTTGGTTTCGTACTGCAGACCGTCGTCTCCTATTACATGCGGCTTTCATAGTGCCAATACCCGAACTTCCACGTACAACAGGAAAGGAATGACCGAGCACAAAACACTATGTCATTATGATGTTCACAAAACATGAACCATTATTCAGGAGTGCTAAATTAATTTTTCATAAGCTGTGAAAAAAAGACCAAAGGCAAAAGCTGACATTAGATAAGTTCTAATGAAAATCCTGGATTACTTAATTACCTGTAATTATAGACGATGAATAGACACTTTTTAATTACATCATGTGATTTATCAATTTATCTTTTTCTGATATTATACTGTAATGTTAGCATATTACATAATTTTCAAATTAAAAAAAGAAAAGGAAAAAAAACAAAAAAAAAACAAAAAAAATAATTTGCTCGTGGTATATCACAAGGTTGAACTGCCAGATCAATCAATTTTAATTTGTCCAAGACTTACTGAAACTTCATTTTTCTTCAGATCTTTATTAAGTACTGTCTTCAAATCACAAATGACAGTAATAATAGCAATATAATCTTTATTTATTTTACAACAATTATGAAACAACTTATTTCAACTTATACTAAAGAGTGCCCAAGGAAAACCCACATGATAGGGCAGGTGACTTCCCTGAATCGAACCCAGGAACGGCTAGGTAAAAGGCGAATGTGTTATCACTGCACCACCCGACTATTTGAATGACAGTGTAACTAATTAAGCCTGGAATAATTTTTTCTCAATAAAATAATTATTTCTAATTGACTTTGATTTTGCAAAATTGCTAGAGAAATTTGATGGAATTTAACATACATGTACAAAAGTAGACACAGGCGGACCATGTTCTAAGTACAAATTTGATATATTTATAGACCAACTTAAATTCCGCTCGGACATAATCAAATTTTCTACATTTCTAATAATCAGGTAAAATTAAAAGTTGATCCTTCCACTTCTATAATTTCCAAATAGAATGTTTCCTTCTTTGTAAAGGGACAAATCCACTAACTATCTCAGGGCTGTAGGGGGAACATCTTATCAAAGGAGTTTAATGTACAAATCCAATCTCCATGAATCAATCATCCAATGAAATACACTAATACAAATCTACACTCCATCTGATCCAATCAAATTATCCGTTTGATAAATCACAACAGAAATCAGTGATAAAAGAATGACAGAATATTCAGATATCAATCAATCCTTGTCTCTAACCTTTGTTAATGCGCCATTAAATCCAGTGGTGTAAATTTGTTTACTGACGATCGTATCATAAACAATAGGTTTCAAGTTTCTATAAAAACATGCAAGTTCATGATCTAGACATGGTAAATTCCTGACTCCATTTTAAATGCTTCTAGTTCATGACCTTGACCTCATGATGACACAATTTGGTATAACAGAATATATTGATATCGCTACATTCTAGTTAATCTAATACCTAAGCTATTTTTTCTAAGTCACGTCAATAAACATAACTCTGCATATTTTAACTCAAGTGGTGCAGGTTGGTGATGATTATGGGGACATTTTATGATAAAAACTTTGATCTCATTCTGAAACATCTATTTCCTTGCACTTTAGGAAGTTGGATTTTTTTATGCTTGTTGATATGCCTGGTGGTTCTGTTGTTGTTTACCTTGTTCTCATTTGGGAACATGACATTTCTCACTTTGATTGACCAAGATATACATTGTGAGGGTCATTGACGAAGCAGAAGACGCTTATCCTTCTGGAACACCTAACCTTGTACTTTTTCAGAGGTCTCTTAATTTTTCTTTTGTTCATACTTTCTCATTTCAGAGAGTTTGAGTTTGAATTAAGATTTGACAGTCAGTATTTTCTTTGTTGTTTTAATGACATTGACCTATGACCTCCAATAAAGAACTAAATTAAGGCATGATATACAGTAACACTGATACATGTTTATTCTGTCAGTTAATGATAGAAAAAAAATCTCATCCATCTTATTTTTACACCATCAAACACTGCAACTTTAACAAACAATGATGACCTGTAAATAAATTCATGTATTTGACCATGATATATTTCAAACAGTTTAAATGCATCAAGCTGACTATAGAATCTTATATCTATCATCAAGTCAGTGAAACATTTCTGTAACCATGAATCAGTATAATAAAGCTTTTCTGTGACCTAGAAAATCTATCAGACTTGGTTTAAGAGCATGTGATATTTTGACCTTCTTTAAAAAAATTTTTACCTTTTATGTGACCTTTCAAATTTTAAGAAAATCAATTTAAGTATATATATAAAGCAGTTACTAGGTTTAATACATTTTATTTTGGGTATAACCTAAAATTTTGATAATTCACTAGTAATTGACCTAACTGATGTTCTTTTTTGTAAAACATTCACAATTTATCAGAATAAAAATGTGTGTGGACTTAAAAAATATTCTAACAAATATAAATTTATCTATATGGGAAATATTGACTATTTTTCCCTTACATGGATCATATATATCTATATAGACGCAAGTTTTTTTACTGATATAATCCTGATGTATAGATAAGACATGCATATCATTCATGGATAATTAAGTGTAGACAGCTGAGATCTAGATTTGTATCATAAGGTTGAGGCTTCAGGCCTTTGTAACTCAGTACACAAAACATGACATAACCTCATGGGGCCATGCTTTACAAATAACATGACGTAATCTAAATTGTACTAAGTCCTCCTTAATGATTATCTCTGAATTAGATCTTAAAATGACATTCATTCTATTTATACTCATTACAATTATATCTAAAGATCATAAGTTGAGACATTTTATATAATTTTTTTTTCATTTTATATTATTATCTAAAAAATTTTATGATCAGAGTTTAATTTACATATCTCACAGTGTTAAGAGATAGGTGATAAATAAAGTAGGTAAAATAACGTGTTTCTCCACAGAGCGCCATCAAACATTCAATCTTCATAATGGTTATTATATTTATATATTCTGTATAAACATTATTTATTTGACAACATTCATGAAAAAAAATTATTTCATTTATATTCATCACTTTTGTTGGCCATCTGGATGAAAATGTGTAAGGGTTCTTAATATAGGAGAAAACTGGTGAACATGGGAAAAACCCACACGGTCGGGCTGTTGACCCCTCACCTTTTCATGTCTGTTCAGGGAATCAAATCTCGGACGTCCAGGTGCAATGTATTACCCGACTACTCGACTGTGTCTATATATCATACATGTACTAATAACCAACTGTACCTACCTATAGTCCAGCCAATCAGAGCAGAATGGCCTGTCACCTGGTGAATTCTCACATGAGAGGGAGGCTGGACCAGGCCCGAATATACTATCTTTAGTTTACGTCCTGGACGACAACCTGCATATCTGTCACCCATGTGCTCCTCTAAAAATAGAAACATGTTTCTCATGAAAACATTTTTCTTCTGTTTTGAAATCCTTGTAAAGTTATGATAAATATTATTGATGAAAAACTGATATCATTCTTTAGATATAAAAATCTATACACAAAGATTTAAGATTTTTTTAGTGTAAGTTACGTGATTAAGTTCGGAGAGAATGTAAAAAAATCTGTGAATTTAGTCTTACTTGTGATAAAACAACAATATATGGAATCGTTAAATGTTTTAGTCAGCTGGCATTAAACTATATTTGACTAAGGTTATATATCGTGAATCTAACCATCACTAACTCAACAAAGGCCCAGGGATCATAAAAGACAATTTCAGTCCAAAAGGTCACTTTACGAGTTACTAGATGAATGAAATTTTTGATATGCAATGAAAAACAGCGTTTTTTTTTTTTTTTTGTAATATAATTGATAGATAAATTTTCAGTCTGAAAATTTTCCATGATCCTAAAGCCTCTGTCCAAAATACATTGTAGTCTTCTATAACAAAACTAAGTGTAAACACTGACATCATCAAAATGACAGTTTTGTATTCAATATATATCAGTTTTCTTCAGACCTTGACCTATCCCTTAAGTCAGCTTTGACATAAAAACATTTGCTTTCTATCAATCATGACTGAAATTGTTATTTTCTTTTTACTAACTCTTCCTTCACTTATTCTCAACTTTAAACAACATGCTATCATAAATCCCACATAATTTTTGTTGCTGTTAGAACCCTATATAATTGGATCAGTGTAGATCTATTTTGTGTGGTACTTGATTATGGATCTCTAAACATGCAGTATCAGGTTTGGGATACCTTATAAACCCTTGTACTAGCCTATCATATCAGCGGAGAAAAGCAGTGTAAGAGACCCAGAGGGATCCTGGTGCCCACTATGGTATGACCTTTATTGTTTCAATATAGATGAATCTTTATTTAATCTTCTGTTGGCTAGCTTGTTTTCCTGATCAGTGCCAAGTTTGTATAACCAGGGACTAAGAGGAGATGAGACAGATTCTTACAGCAATTCTCCACAAGCACCAATAACAAACTTTAACTATCAAAATCCATGATGGTTCTAATTGTCAATCAGTATTTCATTATTTTTTTTTTTGGTCATTCCAAAACTTAGATGTACATATGAGATTTTAGAAAGACCACCCAGTTCTTGTCGAAAAAATAGCAATAGCATGTTATTAACCTGACAAATCCTAGATGGCCACTTTTTAGGTAATTTGGTTTTTCGGTCAGTCCTCATGACTGAAGAACTCACATATGAAATTTCATAAAAAAAATCCCTATCAAGTACTTTTCAAACAGTACCAATCACAACAGAAAAACGATAATCTGTTGGCCATCTCATTTTTATCCAAAATTTTTTTCCAAAATTAGACATGCACAATTTCCAAGCAATTCCAAGCAATGTTTCTTTAGAAAAGTGATAAATATTAGAATCCAAGATGGTTGGCAGTCCCCTAAACTATCATTATCAGTTTATAGATTATGTAAGCATGCAGTATCGTGTTTGGGATATACTAACCCCACACTAACCTATCATGTCAGTCGATGGAAGAAGCAGTACCAGAAATCCCTGAGGAATCACCATTTGGAAATGGTGGGCTTTGAGGTCAAGAAAGGAAAATTGCATGCTGGGAAATGTAAGCCTCGTTTGACAGTCATACCATATATTGATTTTTGATAAAAATTGCTTATTTAGAGAAAAAATTAATCAAAATCTTAACAATTTAGTAATAAAATGAGATCATAGAATTGCTTCTAAAAGAAACTGAAAAAGTTAATTATCTTTTAAAGAATTTTTTTAATCATTTAATCAATGTGCTTATAACAGGACAATGAAATATGATATAGTGGCAATTTAATATTGAACTTTCCTCTTAAAAGCTTATTGCTGGGATAATTACAGTTTTGAGTAGAATATAAGACTAGCTTTAGGAAGGATTAACATCAGAATAAGGGTCACTAACATGTGTTTAGTGCACCAACCCTTGATGTAGTTGATTAATTCTATGTCAATATTGTTCATAATGACATTCCATTTATCATAAAAAATATTTCCACATATTAAGACTCACTTTTTCTGCTAGATGATAAAATATTATCAAATCTGATATTGTTAACTTGAATTTCAATAAATCAAGGGTTGGAACAGTAAGATTAAGGTACAGAAATGCATGAGGAAGCAGGATAAGGGTAGCTTGGATATACATGTGTGGCAGTGTTACCAAAGGGGTCTCGGGCAGACTTTGGCATCTTAGGCCAGCCCGTGGTGGGCATATCTTTGGAGTATTTTATCAGAGCACTGCGACTCAATGAAAATTCTGTTAATGAAAGTAGTGACAGAAATATACATAATGCTGTGTGTTAATGTAATACAAACAGACTAATACATCTGGTCCCAGTCGCTCAAAGCATGGTAAGAGCTAACAATTTTAATTGTTGCCAAAGACAAAAACAAGGACTTTCATAGCATAACTGGCACTTATCAAATATCAATCTGACCTGTCTCAACAAACTTTAAGCTTTTCTAATTTTGTTTAATTCCTATTTAAACTTCTCACTAACCACTGATTAACTATAACTAAGCTTTGAGCAACTGAGGCCTGGTGTTAAAATGATAACAAACCTTATACACATATAAATATACAAGGAAATATTCACCTTAGTTTATCTTTCATTTGATTCACCTGTTTATCAGAAGGATGAAATTAAAAGTGTGCTAACTGCAAAATTATATCTGTTGTGGGGTTAAATTTATATGCTTAATAAAGAAATATTGAACGAAATACTATGTTGTAGACATTTGATTTCGTGGATGAATAAAGCTCAAATTTCAATGACACTTAATCAGGCAGCTATTGGATATATAAGTCCATGATTCAGAGTATCAACGATATTGATGAAAATCGATATGATTGTATAGTTACTTAAAGCAGATAAACATGTTTTATCATTGTCAGGTGAATTCAACATTTAACAAAAACGAAGATTTTTATGGAAGGGAGAGAAAAAAAAATTGACAAATATTTCCTTGTATACAATATTAAAATTAGTGTACAGCTGAAATATTTAAGTGACAAAATTAGGATTAGTCAAGTGCAACAAAGTACTACACAATAAAAACAGGAAGGTAAACACAGCACGTGATGTATTAAAGAAACTAGAAAACTAGATAAAAGTTAGTATAAAAAGTATATCTAACAAGATTTGTTTTATTTCTCACTAAACTACTTAATTTAATACAAATCAAAGAAAAAAATATTTTCTGTTATTTATTTTTTACAATCTTGTTTATGTAATATTAAGAAATTTGTGTATATTGAACTCAAAATAATAATCCATGTATATAAACCCTAGACACAATCTGTAAACCTATGAAACAGTCTATTTAAGTATATCATGACATGAATATGATAGTAATTTGCATACAAGCGGCCCTACACATGAAATTGTTAAACAGCTCAAACAATATCATCATTACTGGTAGAGTATGGAGACACATTAAATCAAATATCAAGCAATGAATTTTGAAGATTTCGTTTCCCATTTCCAACATATGACAGCTGTTAATTATTTGAATGCTAGCTTAACAAATAAGTTAGAGTGAGAGACAGGGTAAATGTATAACACTTAAGAACAGACTGTAACAGACTTAAGTAATTGTCTGCTTTCAAATGAAAATTTACATATGAGAACCAAAGAATTTGCTTAGATATTCAATTGTATGTACTGTATGATATTGAGGTACAACTTTGACTTACCTGCATCATCCATTTTCCCGGACTTGTCCTGTTCGGCTTTCTGGCGGTTTGCGATCTCTGCCTCAATTTTTCCTATGGGATGCTCCGTCAGGGCAATGAGTTGTAGAGTAACAGACTCGCCTAGAGTGATGTCACTGATTGTCCAGTTGTTGATGTAGGGAGGGATTAGACCTCCGTACAAGTGTCCATTCTTCATCATACGGTAACCCTAGAAACACACAACAAAATATATATATATATACCAGCTGTTCTACATCACCCTGAAAACAAAACAATAATAATGTTGGAACAAATACAGATTCTTCAGAAAGGATCTTAACAAAAAAAAAAAGTAAGTAATATTTCAGATACACACCATTGCAATTTTGGAAAAATAAATTTCACAAAAAATCTTTTCCAAGTTTTTTTGCCAGCATTGAATTCAATTAATCCCCACACAACTAGACTTGCCCTCATAATCAAGGGTGAGAAAAATGAGATAAGGAGAAAATTTTCCGATTTTATATAAATCTATTATGTAAATCTTCTTCATGGTATTGTCAAATGGGCATCAAATATCATCCATGGTAATAAGTCTAGTAATTTTTTAAGCTTTTGAATAAAACAAAATGAATTAGTTATAAGCCCACTTTTATATGGTAACAGATATATGAAATGTTATGAGATACGTACAGAGAGCTTGACATCGCCTAGCTGCTGAGGGGTCCTCCATGTGACCTCTATGCCCTTGGTGGTCATAGATTCGAGGTAGAGGTTAGGGGAATGAGGTACTCTAGGAGCTATGACACGCAGTGTATTGGACGTACGACTCTCACTGCGGCAGAACACCTGGTCCTGGAATGGGTCAACATTCATACTCCCGGCAATACACTGTAAACAAATATATTAAACATACTTCAATATTTTTAATTCTAAGCAGAAAAGGTTCGAGACCATATGTATTGATCAAGCTTCATTTACCATCTAAATTGGAATTCAGAATCCTGAAACATTTTCTGCTGTTAACACTTCAATCAAGAAAATACATTTTCTTAGCAAAAACACTTTCCTGAAACTGAAATTAAAACCAACTAAAATCGATTACACAATAATCATGTGTCCTGATTCAGCGTTGGATAGGTATCATGCTCCTAACTCACCTTGACCCCTACGTCCACAGCCTGGTCAGCTGGTAGGTCATACAGATAGTGATGGTAACCCTGATGGTTACTCTTGTTGTTAGGTTTTACAATGTCCCTCTTCTGACCATTCTGATATATTCTACAAAAATATAAAGTCAATACTATACAATTCGGTATATCTAAACTATTTATATATTGGTTCAAATTTATGTACACAGAGGAAATATACCCCTATTACTAAGCTGACTTGTATATCTTCACATAAACTCTGAAATGAACAGAATATCATTATAACAATTGTCAGAGTGCAGACCTTGATATATGTTTTATCCAACAACCTTCAAAATAAATACTTTATCAAAGGTGGACAACTTTTTTTTTATCTCGGGACGAAAATATTCTGGTTAAGCTTGACAAATCAATAGACAGACATACTGGTAGTAGCAGATGGACTCTCCCTGTGGGGTGTGTACATGGCTCTCCGGTTTCTTCCAGCTAATCAGGACACATCCTGTCTTCATTGATGTCTCCTGTGATATAGCGGCTGGAGCAGGTGCTCTCGGACACGAGATATAGATTGGACGAGAAGCTTCACTCTCTATACCGTTACCTTGCTTGGCAACAGCTTTAACCTGTACACATATTGTCTTCCCTGTAAGATAAAGAGAGATTTAGCTACATTCTCCACAAATAGGGAACCCTAAAACACTGACATCAATTTTGTCTCATAACTCTTACATAAAACATTTACTATTTAAAACAAATTCAATAACATGAATTTTTCTTAAATTTATGAAATTTTCATTTTTTCTCAGTTTACAACTGTTCAAAAATAAACATTCTAGTGTCATTTCCTCCATAAAGTTACCAAGTAGATAATATTACAAACAAATTTGTAATCATCATTTTTGCTTTCTGGAATGGCTAGACAAAAATAAAATGTACAGAGACAACTGTAAGGGGACATCTGATAGTGCAGTCCATTTACATGGCAGACTCTATTCTAACAATGTACACATTTTTCACAGTCACATTCATATTTGCAATTTGTTTTGGGAGTTCCATTGGGGAGATGTACAGATTATTTTCAGGTTTAAAACACATTCATATATCTCCTAAATATTGTACAATTAAACAACTAATCTTTTAAAGTGTTTCTGGTGACTAATATTTTGTCAAATTCAAATTATGGAAGATAGAAAGTTTTACTAAATATTCTTGCTTCAAATTCTGATGACAAATCTAATATCTTTGATAAAAAAAAATTGGAAGCTCGTATATTCATACAAAAAATTATACCTGGTTCAAGTTTGTTAATGACAACGCTCCTCTTCTCAGGGGGAGTAAGTCTAAATGGCTTGTTGTCGACCATGAGTCTGTATCCCTTCAGTGACATCTCCTTGTGCATGGCTGGTTCATCCCACTCCACTGTAGCCTGTGTAAGGAAATTATCTCTGTACCTTTATGTCTATCTTAAACTCTCAAACTGCATCATACTTATGCCTTTCGGTATATTTAATGTTTTTCATGTTTGTTTACCAGGTTTAGTATCACTCAGAAGTTTTCAGGTCAGTAATTTTGCAGTAAAATTTTCAGGGATTTTTTTTTTCATCATTTTCAAGATCATTGCAGAACCATGAATGCATCTTCAATTAAGACCCTCAGTGACATTGGGGAAACCCAAATTTTTTCCAAGAGATTGTATTCCAGGAACATACAACTTAAATAACTCCACATTTCAGTCTCTCACACAAGATTCTTCAGCGTGATCCGTGTTTGTGTCATACCTGGTACATATTTTAACTAATACCTACCTCATACAGATCAACAGTACAGACCCTCAGACGAGGGGCAGTAGGGGGACCCATAGTAGTGTAGTATATTACAGAGGATGTGGTCTGGACCTCGTATGGCTGGTTTCCCTTTAAGGTGTTGTAGTTGGCGATCACAAAGATTCTAAAAAAATTCCAAAAACAAAGGCTTACTATACCCCTCAATAAGTACAGACAAAGGTGGTGAGGACATAACACGTATGAATTTATATGACGTTACAACAATACCTTAAATTGAATTTATATTATGTTTCAATTATACATTTAACTGACCATTCATTATAAACAACAGTAACATGACAAGAGGTACTATTGATGAAATGCTCTGAAGTGATATAGATAACTATTTTATCTTTTTGAGATAAATCATCTTTTTATATATACCTGTAGGTCATGCCTGGCATCAGACCAAATATGGATTTCTCCTGCGAGTCCTGGACATTCCAACAATGCTGCTGAGCTCGAATCTGTTTATCTCCCTCCACGATATTACAGTCAAAACTGGAAAACGACATATAGAGAGTGTATTACATAATTCATAGTTATGACAGAGGTAGTATCTCTTATACATGTCACCATCATTTTTTTCTTATTTTCAATGTCTTGTACCATGAACTTATCAGATTTCAAGCCCATGTCTGTTAGTGCACCCATCATATAGAACAATGTCTACATGTCCTTTTTCATAGTTCTGTAATTGTCTGGACTCCAGTCAGCAGTATTATGGTGGGCAATGGACTTGTTATAGAATAAATAAGCTAAAATAATCGTGACAATATTTTCAGAGAAATCCTTATAAACTCAAGATTTTTTTCTGTTTGAACTCTTTAACAAGATGAATAAAGAATCAGGCAGACTTCTGACAACTGTTTCATCATTGGCAATACCACTGAAATGATGAAACATACCTGTGGTCACTCTTCCTGAACTCTGGTCCAAACTTCTGACCGACGATGTTCACTACATACAACAGGAGGGTATAATCTGGTAGTACTTCATCCTGGAGCAGCCATTCCACCTTCACACCTGTCTTACTCTTGGAACTGACTTTAATGGCAGGGGGAGGAAGGGTGTTTTGTTCATGGGCTTTTTTGATAAGCTGTTGAAGAAAAAAATAAAATTAGTTACAAGAAAGATCCTCATACAGTGTGGAGGAAGATTTGCATGACTATTTATGGTTGTGCTCAATCAGTCTCTGGAATAGCAGGATTGATGAAATGTAAGGGCGATAACTCTTGAAATATCAAATAAGTTACATACTCAACAATCACTGATGAATTTTACCATACAGGATAATCTATTAATGTTACAAGATGCTAATAACTGGAAATAAACCAACCCTAACATATTGCAATGTCAGTATATTCACTTATTAATACGATATCATTGTATGTTAGTAGGACCACCCTCTTCTTTGAATCAGAGATAGTGAGATTGTGTTTTTAGCCCCTACTACTGGTACAGGGTAAACATTGGATCGTATAGATAGAAATCCATACATGACTTTAAGAAATAGCATGACAATATATATATATATATATATATCAGTTATTTTGACAACATGGTCCTCTCAATCAACCATTACACCCCTACCTACCAATTACCTTTTCTGTCCATAAGAAAAAACCTCAACTCTAATAACAATAATCAAAGTGACGTTGTAGTCAGACGAGATATAGGTAAAGGTACGTACCACTCCATCATCCACTGTCCTCAGCAGTTCCATCCTGTCTGCAGCAACAGCCACCCTTCTCTCCGTCACGTCCATGTCATCCAGTCGGGCTTCATCTAGCTGCACTGACTGCTGCACTTGTATAATGGCTGTTTTATTTTTCCTTTTTCCAATTTCCATGGCAGCCATGGTAGGATGAGGCTCTATAACTGTTGTCGGGACTCTAGATGTCTGGTGCTCACCTCGTTCCACCATAACTTCCTTTGGCGTCATTGAGTTACTCATACGAGAGCTAGTGCGGGACTCCTTTGTGCGTTTTATTGACTTATCATTGTCAGTAAAAGACTTGGAAGCATCGAAACTGAGATGATTGCTCTGACTTGGGATAGAGGCTCTGGACTGGCTGTCTCCACTGTCGGAGCTCGAGTCTTCATCGTCAGTGTCCTGGTCGGTGGTTCCATCCTCACTTTCATTGCTCTCCGAAACAGATCGGTGTGGTATACCTTTGCGGTACTTCTGGTACTCGATGCCATCCTCGTTGTAATCATACTTCCTTGGTTGGCGTGGCGACCTCTGAGGTGTCTCTGTTCCTACACTTTGGTCTGTGTAACAAACAATACCAAATTATTTATCACAAAACATTAAATTCTGAAATACCCTAAATTAAATCTTCATAAAAAATACCTTTCTGTTGATCAAATCTAAAACGAAATATTTTTAGAAATAACTACCTAGTACATAAATATACAAATAATTGATTTCTTGTACATTTGATCCCTAAAATAACGGGAAAAGTCATCTGGTCTGCAACACCTGTCAAACTAAACAATGTACATTAATGCGTTCATAACATTGTTATCTACAGGATTTTTCACTGATGAATTTCGAGAATTACAAAGACAATGGAGGATTGAAATTTCCAGAGAGCAAGTGGCAAAAATACTAATTCCTAGTCTGAATTCTGTATTTTTTCAAAACTGAAAAACAAAATATAGAAGACAGTTTCTGTGAAAACAACACACTCTTATAATACTCAATAACTTTAAATATCTAAGACAAGTAAATCTTATTTCCACATTTTAAGGTAACATAATGTATCATAAGAAAATTTACACTCACAAAATTACCTGTTGTCTGCCCCTACTATATAGTCCCTCATCCCACATCACAGATCAATTACAATTATCAGTCATAAATTACAACATTAATTAAATTTTTAAATCACAATTAAGTTTTAATTGATTCTGAATAAGCAATGAAAATGTTATCTTGTCAATGAGCATTGAAATGAGTAAAAATAAAATACTTCAATCTTAAAAAAAATGTAGTTATTTTTGATTAAATGATAAAAGAAAGTATTCTAATATCTAAATTTAAAATGTTAGTTAAAATAAAGACGTGACATCATATAAAAGAAGAATGAAATTTAAAGAAAATATTCAAAATGGATATGTCATTCACATCTAGTCAAATCTAGTAAGTGTTGGGTCACTAGTAAATCACATAAACTATTGAGATAATTACGGTATGTGTACCAATATATCATTTTTCCAACCTCATCTTTCACCAGAATGGCAGGAGTATTTTTATCACAGCATTGTAAATTTTAATACGACTTTTTCAGAACCAGGGAACACACAGATCCAAACAAGTTGATTTGAAGTTCTGGATTCACAGATACAGAAATATCTTGACCAGTCACTGAACATGTGACTTTTAATATTAACCAATTCATCATAGCAAGAAAACTTACCATTTATCATTAATTTAAACGTAACAAGTACTTAACTATTATGATAAGTGTGTCAAAGAAAAATTACCATATCTCTCCCAGGGACGTATCATATTATTTTTACAGGCACTCAAAGTTAGGTGGTGGGCTTAATATAAATAGCATTAGTTTATATCAATTATGGTGGGTTATCATCAGGCATGGTGTTTATAATGTTTATTTCAAAGAGATAACAAGTATTGACTGATTTTTAAAAATAGTTGAGAGTAAAAAAAGTAAACCGTAAAAAAGGAACTAAAAATAGAGAAAAAGTTTTAAAATAAAAGATTATTGGTCTCATATTTATAATATTGACAGTTCAGAAATGTGTGTTGATATACACTTTTCAAGATTCATCAGAAAGTGTTTAAAGCAGACAGGAAAATATTGACTCAAGTAATTGTAATTTTACAGAAATCTTTCAAAATCTATCAGAGTGCTATAAAATAAAGTATTAATATCTGAAGTTTATATAAGCCGCAATTTAGAGTGGAATTAAATCTTTGAAAAAAAAATAATAAAAAAAGCAAAACGCTTGGATTGATTTTGTCCAACATATAACATCCGACTCACCAGATGTTGATACAGTTGTTGTAAACTGTGACGTAGTTGTACTTTCTACTGGAACGAACAATTCAGTTTGTCTATAGTAATAGACGCAATGAACTTATGTAACAATGCCATTCAAATACACAAAAATATCTAATTAATCAGTAATTACATTAATATCATCAGAACTTATGTACAACATCAAATAAATGGCATTTAAGCATAAACCAATCAAAACTCAGTTGTAATACAGTCATGTGACACAAACTTGAGTTAAACACATTTAAGTGATGTGTTTTAATGTGAAAACATGACAACAGAAAAAAAGTAAGACAGTTACACTTGAAGAAAAAGATAAAGAGTCTTAAGAAATTTATACAGAGAAAAAGATCTCGTTGATGAAAGAGCAAGATACTTATTATAAAGAGAAACTTTCCACAGAGATAACTTCATATAAAGAGAAACTTTTTACAGAGATAACTTCATATAAAGAGAAACTTTTTACAGAGATAACTTCATATAAAGAGAAACTTTTTACAGAGATAACTTCATATAAAGAGAAACTTTTTACAGAGATAACTTCATATAAAGAGAAACTTTTTACAGAAAAAACAAGAAACTGATGGATTACCAAGATACTTCATATTAAGAGAAACATCATACAGAGAAAAACTTCATATAAAGAGAAACTAACTTCAGAGAAAATCTTTATATTAAGAGAAAATTTGTAAAGATAAAATATGTACTTGATGAAAGAGCAAGGTACTTCATATAAAGAGAAAGTTTGTAGAATTGAAATCTTCAGAAAATTCCATCGCAGGTCTGAAACAAATACATCCTTGGTATTAAGAAAGCTTATGGTAACATGTCTCTTAATTGCAGTGATGGTGATGAATGCATCCAAAAATAGCAGTATACATGAACAAGTGACTTGAAGAATACTCACATAGACAGTGAATGAATGAACATAAAATAAAAGGTGTATGCATGATCACACAGGTTCATTGTAAACATGAGAAATTAACATTGTGATAATTGACAATCAGTGAAAGATTTCTCTCCATTCCATTCATTGTGACACAACATAACTTAGACATGCCCATCAAGTCACAGTGTGATGGATGACTCGGGTCGATGAAAGATTCCATTCCATCAGTGGGCACATGCCCTGTGTGTTGCTAACATATCCGTGTATCATGCTCTGATGATGTGAGACAACACCGACCTGATGTAACACTGAATTTACCTTCTACAGCGATAGCATCATCCAGGAGATGGTTCCTCAGCATGGGACCATATGCCTGCAGGGACTTCATTGCAAGGTCCTCAGGAAACTTGTCTCCGTATATTTTAGAAAACAGTTTCTTCCTTTCCAGTTCCTCCTGCTGTTCTTCTGTCATCTTATTGAACTCCTTCATGGTAATGGCTCCGTTGGCCTGACCCGGAATGTCTGGACCACGCGGTCGATGGTAGGAGGATCGTCTGGGATCCTCGGGACTGCTGTCCTGAAATCTGTCGTACCTGCTGTCAGCCTCTGACCTGGGGCTCTGGTATTTGAATCGTCTACGTCGGAACTCTACCCCTGGATCATTCCTGCTCCTACTACTATTGGGTGGGAAAGGAGTGTTGTCATGGTAATCCGAATCTCCTTCCTCCATACCCCAATACCCTGTGTCACGGCCATCATACATGTCTTGGTCTCTATATGTGTCTTGTTCAAATTCAACTGTTCGCCCAGTACTTTGTCTGCGATTAAAATCTTGGGGTCCATTATCATACATGTGATCCCTTTGTCTTGTATACTGATGTCCTGATCTTGGTGTGTGATGTGACCTCGACCTTGGACTGTTCTCATAGTAACTATCATAACCAGACTGACCTCTGATCCGTTCAGGGCTAACACCATCAAATGACCTTGACTGATGCGTGAATTGTCTTGACCTTCCTTCTACATCAAGGGTATGGTTGCTAGGATACAATCTCTCTCTGTCCGGACTGATGCTTTCCATTGACCGAGACTGCTGGCGGATATAATCATCTCTCCGCTGACCACTAAGAATTCCACGCTCTGGGTATCGTGGCTCTTGGTCTTCATATCCCCTGTCGTTCCTGCTTCCTGACCTTACTCGAGCCGAAGATCGATGTGGTAGTCCTCCCCCGCTGCTGGGCTTTGGCATGGCAGGAGCCTGAATTTCAAACATTTTTGTTGTTTTCTCGGGTTCTTTAAAAGCTTCTGTGACTTTGACAAAATTCTTGAATTTTTTCCAATCAAATTTAAATTTTTGAATATACAAGCCTTGACATATCCCTTTTCTTAAGATATTTTCTTGCATGATAAACTTCCTCATGGTATTTGCTACTACCTTGAATGTGATGTGACTCTTTACATGCTGCTCTCTCATATCATACTGGGGAGCCCGCAACGCTGCAGCCACAGTGCCCATCATTTTGAAGGAGAGTTTGTGGTCCTTGGCCTGCTGTCCATTGCTGTGATCCAAGGAAAGTGGTGAACGGAGTGATGGTCGTCGGAGAGCACTCTGTGACCCTGGTCTAACCGCGTCTGGGGAAGTATAACGACTGCCGTATGGAGGCACAGGGGAGCCTTGTTCGTCACTGTAGTAAACGCTTTGGCGTCGGGATGAGAATTGACGGCGACCCGAAGATAAGTTGGAATCACGCCTATCTATGCCCTCGCGCATACTAGATCTTGCAGGGGTGGCCTGGCGACTAGGAATGTGCTGTTCATATGAGTCCCGCTCCACAGTCTGTCCATAGTCAGATTGTATCACAGGTTTCTTCAAGGGTCTCACACCGTCTGGGACCACACAGTAAGTAAAGTAATAAAGAACGATGTAAGATCTATTAATACCATATTTATCCTGTGATGAGCCCAGGAATGCAACCCTCACAGCTGATTATTACTGAACATCTAAAGCTGTGGGTGGGCCTATTACTGGGCATGGTCTTATCACTGGATAAATACATTGATTAATTTTACATCCTACTGTCGAACTCATTAAACCTGAGAAAGGCTTAGAAAATTAGAAAAGTATAAATTACACCAAAGTTGAGGAAAGTACAATAGAAAAGGTGAGAAAACCAATTACATAATATGTCACTCTTCAAATAATTGGAATCCATTTGAAATATTAGTATTAGATAAAGACAGATGAGTTGTAAAATAGGTCCATTACAATTCTCTCTTCAAAACTCCCTCAGTTTACATAATCCTGATGGTTTTACATGACTGATTACCAAACTGGTATTTTTATATCATATTGTCAAAATGACCTTGACTTTGAGCAGGTAATTACCTTTGTATCTTGCACTCTCTAATTCCAAATTTTCTGGACTCCTATCCTGTTTGTGATCTGTCAGATAGAAGCCATCATACGTATATCATCTGTTACTTGTAAACGGCTATTTCTAGCCTACTTAAACTTAGGTATACCAGCATGCACAGCTAGCCTACATACCTACCCATCAGGAAGTGATGTCATTGTTCAAGATCGTAAGGGAAGTCATTTGTTTGAAATTGTGCTGACGAATTTCTACTGTGACAGAGAGCTCATGTTAAGATTAAAGTATAAAGATGGCATCATGTGATACTACATGTAAATGACAACTTAGTCTCTAAAATATTAAATTTGTAGCATGTCCTGATTCTCTCAATATTATTTTCGTTCAACATCTTACATCCTCTTTTAAATTTGTACTATAAATAAAGTACCATAAAAAGCTCTCAAACTGACAAAACACTCCCGTCACTCCTTTTCTTCAACTTCAATTTTCAATTGTTTAGGATCTGTCTCAGACAGTTTGAAACAAAATCCTCATGTCTAGATACTCCAAGAATTTATCAGGTAAGTGTTGTACATTTAGGAAAGGCACAATAGCATTTTATAATACATCTATATATATCATACAATATTGACTACGTTATAGCTGTCTAATTTCACGCTGCAAATATTTCACGGTGGTCTGGGTTGGGTTTACATTACAGAGTATTTAATTTCACATTTGTCTATCATTTCACATCAATGTATTCTGGCATATAACACGTTTTCTGAGATTTTCATTTACTGTAGAAATATTCGTTGGATATCTAACTTTGCGTTATCTTTAATAACTGTGAATATTGCAATATTATATCTCCACGAAAATGACCAACAACACAACAAAAGCATCTTCCTATTAACACCTTCACTGCTTTTTTTGGCACCTTGTGAAATTACACATATAATGATACTGTATATACAAAGTAAAGATATGAAGCTATTCACCCACTAGCTTTCCATATACCGAGAGAGTGGTACACAAAATCAAATACCATGCAAAAAAAGTGACACATGATTTACTTTACAGAAAATGAAATGCCTGATACATAGTAAGTAAACATAATGTAATAATTTGTATTGCAAAACTTTGAACTTGACTAAATGAACATCTGATAGTTTAGACATTCTGTAATTTTCTCACATTTGGCTTGATCTATATTTTGTAAAACCTGATTTTACTGACATCCAATTATTAAGAATTAATATCAAATATCTTTTCATGAACATAAAATTAGGATTTCTTTGCACACATTTCATCATTTAATGCTGATGAATTTATCATTTGCTATGTAGGTAAGTGGATTATGAGTGTAGAAAGTTTTTCAGTAAGATCAGATCATCTTCCTGTCAGGATTTCATCAGGTTTTAATTAAATCACAAGACTAAATAATAATGGCCTTAGTGAATCAACTCCAGAAATAAGAAATAAAACCTGATTGAAAAAAAACAGTGTAGTTCTGACATTTTCTGAACAAATTTAGACTTTTTGAATATTCTCTCATACAAAAACAAAAAAAACTAAAAGATAAACATTCTATGAAGTTACATAAAAGTGCAGAAAATGTTTGTAATACAATCAGATTGTGACAGTAATGGCATGCATCATACTTCCACCAACAACAGCTCTCTTGTTCATGACCTTGATTTATCCAAGGTCACTATTAAGTTGTTTACCATGACCCCAACAATGTCACAATATCAAAACAAGGGGAGATAACCTGACAAACTATATTTACCAAGGTTAAATTCAATCTCATCAGCTTTATCATCACTGCACTGGCTTAAACTATTTTCTGTTCAAGTCATCAACATCAAAACCCAATATTAAGTTACTAGAACATCTTTTCACAACAATTTTACAAAATTTCCATGGAAACTAGAAAATGGACATTATATGGGCATTATATTGTATGCAATAAAGAAAGCACAATGGTATATTTGAGATGTTTGTGATTTTCTTTAAAATGATAGTAAAAACTTTTTGCAAAAATCTGAAAATAAAATATCAATATCACATGCCATTAAAATCATGCAGCTATCTAAGTATATATTCTAGATACTGTAGTGATGATACACAGCTAGTAATAGGTCTACAACACTAGCTAACTATATAAATCATACCATGTACATAAATAATGGTATTCAATAAAAACTGGATACATTCCAGCTTTAAAATAAGATATACATAATTTTACAGAGAAAATCACATAAAAACACGTTTCTTATACTCTTAATGTTGTACAACCTTAAAATACTTTCCATTGTAAACTTTCATCCGGCACCACTGATACGGACATTGATACTTAGGTATGTTTATGTATCCCACCAACAAACCAAGCCTAAATCTTTTCTACAGTTTGTGGTGTAAGTAAAAACTAAAAAAATTATGACTTTCTTATCAAAATGAGATATATATACATTGCAGGTTAAATGTATCATTTCATATAACTTTTTATAAAAGAGAATTGTCCACTGAATGGCAGTAATCGTGGATGTAAAAACCTGTTATGATAAATAAATAAATCTATAGAGAGAACTATTTTTAATTAATTCTATGATGGTTATACAATCCATACCTGGATTACAGATCCACACAGCAATCTCAAGTAACTACATAATTACCAATGAAGACAAAATTGCTAGTTCATTAAAATCTATCATCTTCATTACATGTGACTACATACATTTCTCTCCGCAACCCACAAAAAAATCTACAAATCCATTCCCATCCATAGTCTTAAAATACCACCACCCCATCCATCCCTCTCCCATTTCTACAACCCCTACATGCTTACCATCCATACTGGGGAGCTGGCCAGCTCCTTCTTGTATTTCGATGTACTCCTTGTAAAATTCTGCCTCATCCATGCGTTCTTCCTCAGGGGGAAGCTCCACTTGTTCAAAGTCCAGAGGCAGAGTAACTTCTAGAAGGTTGGAGGTCTTGGCATGTTCTATGTCAACTAATAAAGAGAATAGGTATTTCTGTAGATCATATCAACTTTGTAAAAAAAAAAAAAAAAGTACACATTTTTTTCATATGTCAAATAAACTTTCTCTGACACACAGGTAAAATAACTATGTATGATACTACCTCTTATCCAATTATTTCCAAAATATAATTTTTTGTAATCACAAAAACATACAATATATGTAAATAGCACCTGTCATTATTAACGTCCGAAATGTGCATTATTTCTTACAATAAGAATGATATTCATGACTGAAAGGAGATCTTGGAGACTGATCTCTGCTATGACACTGCTGTGCTATGTAAAGCCACATAAGGCATCTAAGATAAAAAACGACAAACTCTTCTTAGCAAAGCACAATCCGCATCTGCTAAATCATTCATGGAGTTTTAACCTAGCAACACATCTTTATTTATCCAGATAGAAATCTTTTCCTGTGTTTCCAACACCATCTCACCATTCCTTGTGTTGGTTTCATTCATGTTGTGCTGACATTTTCAAATGTGAATACTAAATCTTTTGTGAACTAATTTGATTTCAATATATTTTTTTTTTTGCATAATCTAGCTAAAGCTGGACTTGAATCCAGTTACTTTTTCCTACCACTGTTAAAGCAATACATGATTTCACTGCCACACCAAAAGCAGTCAGAGACTCGGCCAATCAAATCCTTACTGTATCTATTTTTGACATTTGAGGATTCTGAGGCACACAGAAACCCACAAGGTATGACTTCCTCTGAAACTTGACATTTTGAAGCACAATGAAATATTTGATTAATGAAAACAGTACCCTGACATCAATATCTATTCAAATTCCAACATTGATTAAAATAAAGATCATTTTTCTATCTGATGTGAGAAGTTTGGAATCATATGTATTTTTCTATATTTAAATAAAAACTTACCATTGGTAGCTCCTTTTGAAAAAAAAAGAAGGGAAAAAAACCCGATTAAAAAAATTCAAAACATGTTCAATAGATCAAAATTTATTCATATTTCAAAAGCATGAAGAAAGCTGATACCAAGCAGGTAACATCAACAAAAGAATAGACAAGATCATTTATTTCTTCATATTCAATGGATAAGAATTCCTAAGTCACCTTTTTGTGATGAATGAAGACAAATTAAGAAAACACTCATTAAATTAAGAAACACTCATTGGCAGTACATCAGGGATTCTTACCTTGAGGGAGGGCTTTCACATACACTTTGTGGAGCTGTCGCAAGGTACAGCCGCCGATCACAACTTTACATCTGTCACTGTCTGGACTCGGCACCAGCTACAGGAAACCATTAAAACATTACTTCAGCATCTTTAACATATCACTAACACAACAACATGAAAGTTGAAGAGGAGAAAATTCTCCAATAAACAATGTCTGTTAATCATTTGTGTATGATATGGTTCATCCACTGGGTTTCTGGAGGATCCTTTGTGAGATACAAAACCCTCATGAAATAACTTTATGCATTGATGTAACAGTTTGTATAGTAAGGCAAGGTAGTGATGATTTTCTCTTTACATTGTGCATTTGGTAAGCTAAATTATTAGAAGAAGCAAAGTCCTTCTTTTTTCAATTAAAAACACAAACTTCACTTTGAATTTCATGTTCTAAACTAAGCCTTCAAGGCCTTTACAGAACAGTTCCCACAGAAGCTGGTGACCACATACCCTACTGCCACACTGGACGCCGTCCAGGAAGATGAGATAACCAGATATAGGGTAGTCTGGTGTGTCAATGGCCATCCATACCACTGCTAGGGCATCAGGACGCTCCGTGCGCTCAAGGGAGATAACTGGCCCACCATCAGGAGTCCGTTTGGGACATTTCATTACCTTATAAAACAACCAATAGAGGTTTTCTTACAAGTTTGTTACAAATGATTACATTCATATAATTTAAATGAAAAGTTTCTTTTCTGGTTTTGAGAAATATTTTAAATAAATCTAGGTACCAAGCTGTAATACTTGTGGGGAAATCATGCCGATTCATATAAAACAGTCCAGTATGATAACACTATATCACTTTTTATAAGTCTTAATGAAAACACAATCCTCATCTTCAATAATATTGGAATTTCTTATTTGAAATCATTAGTTATTATATATAACAGCATTTTCATCTTTCATGTTTCTAAAACACAATACACAAACCAGTGTTTGTATGAAATTGAAATTCTACAAGACTATTACACACTCACCAGGACATTGGATGTAAGTGGTTTATACTGGTTGTTGGTGGAGTAGGCTTCAACTTTGACCTCATACATACGACCTCCTGCCATACCCCTAACATTGATGCTGGTGTTGTGTGGTGGAAACATATCACAGTAGGTCACTCCATTCAGGAAAAGCTGACAAGATTAAAACATAGAATTATTTACTAAACATTAACTCTGAACTTATTACTGTCAAAACTGTTATCTTAACACATCAAATCATAAAACATCATAAGTGACCTAATTGGTAAATAAACATTTTCTTTAAAACAAAAGAACATGAAAAGAAAAAAATCGCAAGACATACCTTCAACACACTCCAACATCTTTCACAAATGTATGAACTCCACATGGAACTTTCAGTAAAATGAGAGGAAATTTGATTTTTTTTCCTTTTCTTATAAAGTATGATTTTTTTATAGATCATCTCCCTATTTTCAACCAGAAGACTGCTTTTAATAATTTCTAAAGCTGATATAATTCATACATCAATGCACATGAGTAACAATCCTCACGGAAGCTTACCTCACAGCCTTTGATAAGAGAGAGCTGTCCATCTGGGGGTGGGTTCCAGAACACCTCCATCACACCTGGCTCGGTGAAACATGCTTTAATGTGTGGAACACAGTCCCACCACTCCCAAGCACCTTCCTTCTGTAACCAAATATTTCATTCTACTATAATTTCAAATATGTCAACACTTCTATAACACAAGGCAGATCATAGCTGTAAATAAGTAGTATATGTAATTACAAGAAGGTTGGAGATACAAACAGGTGGCAGCTACAGGCACGTATTACTTAAAGCTGGTGGTAGGACATATCTATAGGTAAGTGATGACTAAAGTACAGGTCGAGTTATGGACACATTTGAATTACACATTCAACTATCAAAAATTGGCAGTTACAGGCAAGGGTTGCCTTTCCTGACTGCCTTGATATGGCATTCACAAATCATCATAAAATATCAAGCTTTAGTGTCTTCCAGCACATGTGCCATTTATTTTGACTGTAAATGCCACACCACAAGACAGTTGGTTCAACTGGTTAACATTGTACAGTATCTGGTAGCACATGTCATTTATTTTGGCTGTAAATGCCACATCATAAGACAGTCAGTTCAACTGGTTAATATCCTACAGTGTCTGGTAGCACATGTCATTTATTTTGGCTGTAAATGCCACATCACAAGACAGTCAGTTCAACTGGTTAACATCCTACAGTATCTGGTAGCACATGTCATTTATTTGGGCTGTAAATGCCACATCACAAGACCGTTAGTTCAATGTTTAACAACGTCCTAAAAGATGTAAATATAGCATCATGATTTCCATTTGAGCAGTGGCATTTACTGTCATAACAATGCCACACCTGTTTTATAGGTTTATATAAAGGATCTGTCAATGTAATTGTGGACAGCTGGTGTTGGTGATAGATATCTGAGCACATGAATCATACACATCATTAACCCATTTACTGATGTCTACTGATACACTTACACTTGGTACTGGTCTTGATTCAGCTACGGAGGCTGCAGATGACAAGGACTGGCGGTCAGCAGCCTCATCATCAGATACCAGAAACCTCCTGTAAGAATAGACAAGTCAGATCAAAGACTCATACAACAATTAATACCTATAATGGCTATGTGCCAGTATACTGAAGGTTTGTGTTAATGATCTCCATTACAAAACTCTTTTAATTAGAATTTTAATGAACAGTTACATGTATTAATGTATTTCAGGTTTTCATTTGATAAATTAATCAAAGCTTATAATGTTATCATCATTGTTATTTTACAGTGGAACTCTTAAGAAATGAAGTCATATTATATGGTATGGTAACATGTATCTGTAATTCTACTATAAAAAGAAATCAGTTAGGCTAAATCACTCAACTTTTTATATAAAAATAACTTGATGAAATGCATTCCACAATGAGAATGAAATCTTTCTACACACATGTAAATTTCCTCTATGTATTCTGTACAAGTCAGTGTGACTTAAGACTTACTTGGAGGTAAAGATGCTGCTGTTGAGTGAGCGCTCCAATACCGCAATGGCGCGGACAAACTTGATACCAGGTTGTTTCATCAAGACTCCTTTGTCTTGCCTGTACAGCTGTAGAAAGTGAATTAGATATATCAGATGGTGAAATTTTATGACACAGTCAAACTTATATGATTCCAACTTCAACAATTCAAATTTCTCGATATATCAAAGTTTTTGTCCAGTCCCTAATTTTCTTTCTATATATTACTACTAACTTACCCCTTTTATGAATCAAAGTTTTATAAATCAAACTTTTTGATGTATCAAAGTTTTTTCCACAGACTGTTACCAATGATAACACAGTCATTGACACTTCATCATCTGAACAAATCATTAACCTGTCCTGTAAAGGTATTTTAGCTAAAAAAATCAAAGACAATGGGACACCGTGTGATGTTCACTGCCGCAATTGCAATAATGGCATACACTTAGGCCTAATTTACGGAATTGTGAAAACAATTTGAGGAAAATCTATCACTTGTATGATGACTTCACACTTTCCTAAAGCATCACTTTTCAGTTTTAAGTATAAAAGGATGAGAAACACGGTGATTTATCTGTCAATCATGCATTCTTCTATTGATTCAGACTAGCTATTGTCAGAACATTGGCAAACACCCTCATAATTTCGATGACTAAATATGAGTGATGTTAGTGCTATTCTTTCTGGACAGATTACATCATGACATTAATTTGCTCTCTTTAAAATTCATTAGTGCCTATAATGTATATGTATCAAATTTTAAATTATTACTTAACATGTGATGACCACTTAATGCTGTGTGTCATTTCATTTAAAATTGTAAAATACTGTATGACATGAAGGCACGAATGTAAACATAAGCATGCGTTGTCGATTTCTTTACAAAGTGATGTTTTTATTTTCTAATGAATGAAAATGTTTAAGATAAAAATGCATTTCTTCATTTAAACTTGTGTTTGGGTATTTGTTGTGTTTGTTCATGTAGAAATGGTGTGTCATCAACTATTATCATGAACATGAAAACATAAACATAACCCACCAGATATCGTTTGAAGTCTCAATGTATCAAAGTCTTTTTTGATAGTCCCTTGAACTATGAAACATTGAAGTTTTACTGTATATCAGATATCAGAGAAACAGGACATCTCTCCTACTCATATAACATTATATTTGAACTTATACTTATTCAAACTTCCATTTCCAACATAAAAAAAACACTGTAGTTCAAATTCTTGACGGGCCCTCCAAATGTCAACCAAGCCTTTCCTACCTTTGCAGACTCCAGGTGGAGAAGTGGAGGAGTTCCGTCAGTGGTGAAGAAGATCTTAGACCCGGGAGTGGAGCAGGAGAGTTGAACCTTGTCATACTGTTTCAAGGCTCCCCCATTGGATGTCTCAATAGTCGGTTCTTTTACCTTAGGGCCTGTATCACAAAGGAAAATATCATGTAACTCACCCATGTATATTCTCTCCTTTTGTCTTACACAACATAAACACAGGAAAAAGAAATTGAAATGAAATTCTCAAATAATACTACGACATTGCCTTTCTCATCCAGAAAATCACAAACAGAAGCTGTATTTTATAAGGTTATTAATGAATATGAAATCACGGATTTCCCCTAAAAAACAAGAAAGAATTTTCCTTTTTTTACCTGATCGGAGGACGTAGACGGTGCAAGCAAAGCCATCAGCTCCACGAGACACAACACTGTATGACCCAGGTTCATCAAATGTGTACAAGAAACTGTTATTCTTGACCTTCTGACCACTGTTAAATGACTTGGGGCCTTTTATTGGGTTTAGGGGGTCATCCTGCAATACAATAAAAAGGCATGGTTCTAAGATAAGGTTACCCACAAGTTAGATGGAAAGCCTACATATCTTTACTGGCACAACAGGAACTGGTGAAATAGACACACTTATTTATGCACAGAGTGGAAGACGATTCTAAGAGGTAAAACAAAAAAATTAAGAACAAATTATATAGGTACAAAGCCTAGAAATACAGCTACAAATAAGTAATTCCAGGTCTTTCAAAGTCACAGGAGACAGACATCGGGTGATGAGACAATCTCAATATTATGTTTCTAAGAAAACTCACCCTGGTTTCATCAGAGCCCACATGAACGATGTTGTGTTCCTCGTCTGTACCCTTCCAGGTCCACAGTACACTCTGGCCCTGAATCAATACAGAAATGTCAGTCAGGTTACCTACATACATTGACATTTGTATGTTAATTAACAAATTAGCGCATTGACTCTTCATATGTACTTTCTTTGTGGTTTTAAGCCTAAATATTTAATATACCCTACACTGTAAAGTTTGTTATTTCAAGCATTCAAATTTTCATGGTTTTTACCGAAATTTCACTTATGTCAGGAAAGAGACTTTAAAGTTCTTTATCAGTTATATTTTCTAGGTATCTGGTTTTGAAGCTTTTCTTCATCCACAAAACTTGCAAAAAGTAGCAACTCTTGAAAATAACTTTTACCATAAGTATGCTGAAAAATTTTCACCTAAAGTCCTTTTCATTAAATTCCGTTGAAATGCTTGGTCTAAAAATCTGCGATTGACAGCTTTTTTTTACAAAACAAATTGTCCATATTATACGATAACACTTTAAGGAAATCAGTATTTGATTATTTTTTTTAAACTTCTTTTATTTTTTTTATATTAAAATTAAGATGACATTACCTTGAGTATGTAACAAAACGTTGGACTAAATCCACCACTTGTTACACGGATCACCATGTTGTCATAACGCTCATCACAAATCACACTGCTGATTTTAGGGGCTTCCATTTTCTATTGGACATAAACAGTAAAGTTTTAATAGAATAATTCACACAGATACAAATTCTACAGCAAATTATATTTCCTGTATGTTTTGTCTTCCACTTGTGTTGAGGATCATTTGGAAATCCATTCATCAAATGACCAACTATACAACTGGAATGTATGAATGGTGAGTGAAATGCAAATCAATGTCTTCCATATATGGCATTGAAATGTTAGTCCATTATCAATTAGTCATTAATCAGTAATTAACAGTGAAATACAAATTATATCACAGTATAAAAATTTCATATCATATAAAGATAAGGACACAAGCATTGTCGGGTAATAACACAAAGCCTGTTCCCTGTGTTATCAGTCAGCAGATACTAGTTCACATCTCATAAATCTATAACAGATTTAGAAAGATATCTAATGTGCTTGAAGCATTGCTGACATCATAAAAAATTACATACTTCTTTATCACCGGTGCTCTGGAAGAAAGACTTGCTGTAGAATTGTGTTACTCCTGGTTGTTTGATGGCACGGCTCAAACATCTCCTACAAGTAAAAACATGAAAAACTGAAATCAAAATGGCTGAAAACTTTACTTTAAACTGGCATAACATTACTACATTTTACACCATCCCAAGGTCATGCGTAAGTACTATTTGGGGAGGTTTAACACCACCCCAAGGTCATGTGTAAGTACTATTTGTGGAGGTTTAATACCTTCCCAAGGTCATGTGTAGGTACTATTTGGGGAGGTTTAACACAAATAAGTAAGTTATAAGTACATACCGTTTCGGGACCTTCAATTCTTCCCCAAGGTCATTTGTGATCTGATCCATGCTCTGAACCTCCATAATGTCATATTGACGTGTGCTGCGGAAAGTCCATGCTACAATATCGTTCTGTTTGATCGTTAAGGGGTCAGGGTTGACTGCCATGCCAACTTTGACCTCGTGGACCATGGGTTGTGTTGACACAACAATGGCACCAAACACCTTGGAAATACTGGAGCTGAGAATAAAGAACAGCCGAAAATGTCAAAATTATGACCAGATGACATTCTGCTACATTTAAAAAGTTCCATGATGATACAATATAAGTTTATGATATTTTCATGATTACAAAGACATAACATGAAATCCTAACATAACTTACCAGATGCTAGCTCTCTAATATCAAACTCTCATTAACATTAATATGGCTTAAATGGATTTTCAAACTTTCCTATTTTCTGGTTCTAAACAACTCTCGTCTTTCTCTATAGGTGTTTTTTGGTCAAATATGGGCCCCATTCCCAACTGGCTTTATGCCATAATATGGCCAAATTCCCAAAGTATATAGTTTACTAATTAAACCTTCTTTCCCACCTGATAAATTTTCTTCCCTATATGAGACAAAATCTTCTTTACCAAAATGAGTCAAAATTAGCTGTGCAGCCAATTACATACCGGTAGTTTATTTTACAAACAACCAGAATCTTTAGTCAGAACTCGGCATCATAAGATTGTAGATCATTATCAACAGACATATGCTGTATCTAACCGATGATAATCTGAGTAACTGAACACAAGGAATACCTGATGAAGTAGAAGACGCCAGCCTCAGAAAACTGATGGACATAGGCAGAAGGAGGGTCACGGAACATACCACTACAAAACCCATCCTCTATATGGCTGCCTTGGTGTGACACCTGTACATAAAACAAATCATTAGTGTCATATATTGATTAAGTAACATGATAACATAGTCATCTGACAATACCTCAACATCTCTATCCTATAACTAATTGCTTATAGGAGATAACACACGTGGCTTATGGAAACATAACATACCTAAATCATCAAATGTAATTGGTCATGGAAGACTGATTTGTAGTTTTCAAATTTTAACTACCTTTATGACTTTTATTAAACTGTATGATATGAACTTAATAATGTCAATGTATGATCAAATGTATGATATTTGATAACCTCTTTCATTTTTGATTACCTGTATGATATCTGATCACCTGTATGATATTTGATTACCTGTATGATATTTGACTACCTGTATAATATCTGATTACCTGTATGATATCTGATCACCTGTATAATATCTAATCACTTGTATGATATTTCATTACCTGTATGATATTGATTAACTGTATGATATTTGATCACCTGTATGATATTTGATTACCTGTATGATAATTGATTACCTGTATGATATCTGATCACCTGTATGATATATCATCACCCGTATGATATTTGATTAACTGTAATAAGATTGATTGCATATATTATTTCTTATTACCTGTATGATATTGTGGGGTTTCTTTCCTCCTTGCCACACCCACCACACACGGTCAGTGGGTCGAACTGTAATTACCTTGGGCTCAAACCCACTGTCTGTCAGGTGGATGGTGTGATTCTGTAATTGAATTTAACATTGCTTATTTTATAACTGATTTCATGTTTTAATTCAATAATACACAAAGATTAAAAATCAACATAGTAGACAAGTAAATGATCATCAATATCGTGTCATTTTTGGAGAGAAAACATAAAATAAATCTATTGAATATAGCTACAATATTGCGATTTGTAATTCTTGGTAATCAAGCAATTTCGTAACAGTTTCTCATTTACTAAGTAAAAAAGTAACAACTGAGTGATATATTGTTATGTGTACCTTAGGTCCAGGATTGACAATCACAGAACAGGTGTTCATTTCCTTTGTGTTGATGTCCTTTGTGTCCTCTGTAGCGTACAGTCGGAAGTGGTACACACCAGTAGAGGGCACCACCGCTGTCGCTAGACCGACCCGAGCACACAGAGCCATGGCATCGGAGTCCAATGGGTCCTCCATTTCTGTTACAGATGTAGTAATAGGAGATGGTAAACAAATCATTAATACCATAGAGCATTAAAGTACTACATATGTCTGAAAAAACACGCTGAAAATATAGATCTGGATACTGCTAGATTAATCTTAAGATACAAGAGAATTTTTTTTACGGTTTTTAAAAGGCAGCATCATTTTCTATTTGCCATTTCTTTTTGAAAAAATTGTTTTAAAGCATATTATCTTAATGTGTTACAGTGTATGAAGTTTCATTGATGGATACCAAGGAATATCAAACTTACGTGTAGTTTCGTCGAGAGCCGATGTCGGCTTGGCAAGTGGGCTGAGACATTTGCCGACCTGGTTTATGACAAATTTAAAGTTATTCTTTGAAGCCTGATCTTTGTCCCAGTGGAACCAGAGTCTGTCCCCAGATTGGGCCTTCACCACATCTGAAAACACCATTTTGTAATCATGATATATGTACCTATATAATAAACACTACCATACACTATTGTCAAACATGGGCAAAATCCAGTAGAAACAAAACAATTGTAACCCAAGACACTGGATTAAATATGGGACAACCAACTAAAAAAAACCTACCTAAGTTACTGTATATCCCTTATATTTTATAAATGTGGGATTTATTTTCGTGTTAATACACAAGAAGCGTCAATTGCAAATTCTAATCCGTAACAATTATTTGTACAAAAGTAATAACTCCAGATGACATCTACTTGATTCTGTTACCAGAGTTTTGTAGAGTCCATATCCAATAACTCATCATTGGGCATTTAAAGATCAGCATTAACGAAATATATTCACAAAATAAAATATTCACGTAAGTGATTTACAGTACACACTAAATGACATAGTAAGCTACAGTTCTCACTAATAAAGAACTAAACATATTACTGGAATAAAGTAATAGATCGGTTGGTTTTACCTGAACACAATACCAGAAAGGCTTTTTTTCACACTGATACATAATTGACCTTTAGTCTATTCACCAAGATGTGAGCCCACCTTGTTCACATTGTTACATAATTAACCTTCAGTCTATTCACCAAGATGTGAGCCCACCTTGTTCGAATCCCTTCAGTGTAGTCAGTTCTATATAGTGTTCCTGTTGCTTAGGCTTGACAATAATAGTTCCTATATACTCCGCAGCTTCCTGCTGATTCTGATCAGAAAAGTAATACACTCCGGGCTTATAGAACTCATGGGACATCAATCCTTGTTTACTGAAAAGTAAGGAAACAAACTCAAACTAAATACAGGAATGAGAACTACAATATTCATTCTAAAACAAGAGATCACAGAAGGATTTTGCTGTCCTCCATTGTTTTATCTGTATTTGTTCTTTAGAAGTTGGATCTTTTTCCTTATTTTCGCTTCTCTCCCCTGTTTTTTTTTTCTTAATTATACAAAATTTGAAAATTCCTTTGAAGAAATAGTGATAAAAATACTTTCTTTGTCAAAATCCAAGATGGACATCTGTCGTCCATTTGTTTATCTGATCAGTACTAAAATCAAATTGGCACAACAAGGGACAAAGATGAGCCTAAATATGAGATTAGAAAAATATCCTTCTCGCACAATAGCAATAACAAACTTTCAACGTAAAAAACTAAGACAATTGGCAGTGCCTAATAGTCATTTCAACATGTTAACATTGATTCCTGTTATCAACTTTACAGTGCATGACCCCATTTACTTTCTCATTTCAGAACCCATTCAATATATTTCAAAATACTACAAGACAAATGGTCTTCTTTTCATCATCATAAATCAAAAGATTTACTATTTAGTTGTGGAAAATAATAAGAGAAATAACACAAAGATCTAAGATTAAGATAATTTACAAAAAATTCAAAATACATTTTTTTGTAAATCAGATAAATATTAAAACTTACCTTGGTGTTGCCCACCTAAAACCATCTTCTACTGGCTGTAAAAAAAACATGTTACTGGGTCATAATAATTGTCAGAGCTTTAGAGATATAATTTAAGCCATAGGGCTTGCAATCCCTAAAAACTGCAATTCATCACCATTTCTGCATTACTTACAATGATACTTAGTATTTGCCCAACATGGAATGATATTTGCTGAAAACTACCCATAGTTCAAAACCCTGAAAGAATTTCCCTTCAAATTACCTTTGAAAGTTTCACAAAAAGGTTATTAAAAAGTTCTACCTCCAATCATTTTAAAATACATGCTCTAATTACATGTTGCTTTGGCAATATCTGAACACACTTTGATTTAAAATTACAGATTTATTCAGCATCGTGATATTTCTCAGTAGAGGTCTGTCACCTTCCATGTGTCAGACACAAATGAAGAACATTTTCTGTTTTTTTTATCTCATTTCAAGATTGATTTACGGTATTTCAATTTCAAATATTAAAGTACTTTTTGAAATAGTATATAATAAATGACAACAGAATTGCTAATTTCTTGTCACAAGGTCTATTATTTTACCTGGTAAGGTTCTTCATCATCCTGGTCAATAGGAGGTGCTTCTATTTGGTACACACTGTGCGACTTCTTGCACTGTCAACAAAACAGCAGAAAATCTTCACAAATGAAATTTTCACATCAATTTTATTCCTGAATGATACTGGAGACATTACTAAATTTCCTCAGAACTACTTTTGTACTTTTGTATGTAACCATGACAGCACTTCTGTGTAACCATGACAATTTCCTTAGAACTATTTCTCACTTTTGTATGTAATCTTTCCATGTAACCATGACAGCACTTCTGTGTAACCATGACAACATTTCTCTGTGACCAATGAAAACACTTTTTTGTGACCATGATAACCATACCTTAAATTTATCCCAGGACCACCACACACGGTCTCCCTCCTCCACCAAGAGGATCATGGGCTGGAATGATCGGTCAAGGATCTCTACACGGAACTCTCTAAAATGAAAAATACAAACCATTTACAAAACGCAACAAGAAAAATATTACATGATAAAATACATTTAAAGCAATCAGATGATAAATTTCATGATAAAAATATTTAAATATTAAGAACACAACACCAGCATGGTCAATAAATTGATTCTTGTTCAGTCTTTTGTCCGAGTGTTTTTCTATTTCTTATTTAATCTTATTTCTAGAGAACACCTAGAGAATATGATGAACGTCTATAATATTTACCTCTGTGCTTCTCTTACATGTACCACACATAATGCATTGCTGCTTTTGTTGCTCTCAGTCTTGAAAAAGAACAGCCCTGGTTTCCTATAAAAAATTTAAACCAATCATTAAATAAACACAAAGCAGATCTATCATATTTTATAATTCTGTACAATCCTCGGGCAGAATAATGCCATACATTTACAATAACAATATATCTTTAAGATCTGAATGCCCTTCCTCCAATACATATAGGTATTGCCCTTCCTCCAGTATATAGAGGTATCAATTTGAAAAAGTTGTCAAACATGACCTTTGACCCTTTAACTTTGACCAATGGCCATGATCAGCTGTAGAACTTGATGTTATGATAGTATGGAGCAGTGGGAAAGGGGGTGTGTGTCTTAGATTCTTACTGTTAATTATCAATTAATATTGATACTTACGGGAAAGTTTCTCTGTATGAATCACTTGTTACTGGTGCTCTATGAAACAGATAAAGTTTACATTTTCAAATATAATGGAATTGATTACACAAACATCACGCATTTTAAATGAAATACATCATTACTTGAGATGAAATTCTTACATATCTGTGTTCTATCTGTATTTAGAAAGTAATGTCAAATTTTTAGTAAAAAAAAATTTAAAAAAAAAAAAACCTGTCAAATATCATTGTTCAAGTGTGGTTGATAGATTTGATGAGACAAATCTAGAAATAATCATTTCTTTTTTAAACAAATGACATTTCATAACAAACAAAGTCAACAGTGGCTGGTAACAACTCACTTTGAGGTCTCGGTGTTCCTTATAAAGCACTTCTTCTCTATGGAGTATTCCACCTTCTGGACGGCGTGCGGTGTTTTACAATCAGTCCAGTGCCACTTGACTGAGTGACCTTGGTCCACATATACAACAGATTGTTGGAATCCCTCATCTGTGATTTCTATCAGTAAATCAACTTTCCTTTTCACTGTCACGCTCAGTGGAGTACATCGAATACCATTACTGTAAGTAAGCATGCCAAAAAAACAATGATAATGAAATTTCATTATTCGTCTCTATTTCAACACTAAATAAATCTTCCAATTTTTAAAAGAAAAATTAATATATGTCATTTTCAAAAACCACTTGTACATTTGTGTAAGTATCTTGGAATCTCTAGTTTATAGGAATACAGTAATAACAATCAAACTGAAGCTACAAATACCGAGACTTAACACAACGAGACTTTATTTTCAAATGATAGTTCCTGAATTAGAAGATGCATAAAATATTGAAATTCAAAATTTTAATAAATTTCAGAATACATGCTATTTATTTGTTATTTTGTTTGGTGACATTTGATAATAGAGAGAAAAAAAAAGAAAAATAAGAAAACAATAATGACAAACAAAAAATCAAAAAGATTAGACAAATTTAAAAACCTGGATATGAATAGATTAATGCTTCACATTTTTTTTTGTTTTTTTTTGTTTAAAACATTTGTTACAACAAAGTATGGTTAAAGTTTGGTTAAACACTAAGTCAAAATAAAACAGTATTTCTATCAGGTTCTATAAACTAGGTCTACAAACTTATTTTGTTATATATAAGTTACTTTGTAAGGAATGAGAGATGTGCTATAATCTGATTGTACAATATTTACAAAAAAAAAAAAAAAAAGGACAGATTTTGCTAATTTCTAAAAGAAATACAACACAGAGTGTTTCAATGAAAAGAGTGTTTGCATAAAATTCCTGAAATAGAAAAAAAATTAGGTACAAGAAAAGAGAAAGATCTTGTGAAATTATTTACAAAGAATTTATCATTTTGAAAATCTAGGACTGTAACAACATATATGATAAAAATATTTGTATTTTTCGTAAGAAATATTATGAAACGAACTAATGACATAATAATTTATATATAAACCTCTAATGCAGAATTTATCATTGATTACGTAATTAAAGTTAAGCTTTCCACCAACCAGCTGACTTACGGTAAAACATGCTATTACTTTAAAGCCAATAATGTTCTGTTCGATATCTCATTCCGTGATATCACACAAAGCCACTCGCTGATACAACTGTGAAACTACTCACTATATACTGATAATTTACATTTGAAATTGCAACAGTAAGTTGCCTCCATATACATAATTTGCAGCTTTCCAGTTGAGGATAAACCAGTATAGTTTACAATTAGCTGTCTCTACTAATTGTAAAGTACAATATCTTGAGATCTCACATCAAATTTTCCAGTGCACTGCTACCAATTTTGTAATGCTAGAACATGGACACCCTACAACTCAGTGCATTATCCATGTCTGGTAATATTAACTTCACAGAAGCGACATACAGAAATATTCGAGTATGGACAGCATATGAAAGTAAATTACCTTGATTCCTCAACAAATTATTTTTTCTTTATTTCTTTTTTTCAAATGTTTTAACACATCTATAGAATTAAGAAATCATTGTAGACTAGAGTAGATTTCAAAATTCTTCAGATCACCAATTGGAATAAATTGTTAAAAGGTTTCTCCTTTAAATGTACACATTTAATATTTCATAATTATCTTTTCAACATCAAAGGTTTTCAAAAAAATTTTAAATTTCAATTCTGATAATTTTTTTTAAAAAAAGCAATATCAAAACAAATGATGAGGAGTTCAGAGCGATTTACAGTTTGAAAGTTAAAGGCTGTCGACACTGATCTACAGATAAAATGTTAGTAGAAAAAACGAATGAAGATTAGCACTCGTCACTTAGACAGTGATCTGTCTCTTACTCAGTTTCCTCATCCAACACTTCGGTTCTAACAGTACCATCCGAACCTTTCACCGTCTTTGCCCTTGAAAAGTTCAAGTCAATGTCAAAGAGCATACCAATATCATACAAGACTGCACATATTGACCTTTGACCTTGACTCCATGTCATAGTTCAAAGTCCTGACAACCACTTTATGTAGGTTTTTAAATGACGTTCAGTAGGTATATAATAATTAAGATGTTGACACATGGGTCTGTATGTTGAGGTCTTCCTTAGGAAGGAAACTCAATGGAAAAAAGAAATCTGAAATGAGTCTAACAAACACCCCCATGTCCTATACAAGGTCTTCAAACTGATGGACAAATCAACATACAAAATAATTTTTTTTTCTATTAGAACAATGATACATGACTATGTCAATAGGATATCAAACACAATTTTCTCCTGTTCCATATTGTCTCTGTAGTATCAAAATCTCTGCATAATCAACTTGGTTGTAAATTGAGAAATTAAATATATATTTCAACACATTATCTATGACCTTGTGCATCTTGTTAGTTTTCTTGATAAAAAGATCAATGATAAACTTACATAGCAAATTTGTACTCTCCCTCCGAGTTGAACTGCTGGTCATAGTGACCTTTAACCTCTGCGGCCTTTGCCTCATATCCACCAATTACAGGCCTTAGTCTTTCACCATCATGGACAACCTGCATTAAGAATAAATGGGCAAATAACAAAATTAAGAATCTGTTTTAACTTTTATAATTACGACCTGTAAGGACAAAATCAAAACAGAATGAATTGGAGTAAATACTTTTGGCCATTACAGAAAGCAAATGTTGACAACTCGTTGCTCGTGTGAATATTTGCTAAATGATTTGTTGCAATTTTTACAATCAGGGTAATTTTGAGCCAGGGTCTTCTCAAAGTAGCTGGTGACTACCTAACAGAACAACATACAGGAGGCCTGTCACTTGCCATCCAATTACAGACGTCGATGCATGGTCACATAAAACAAAAATTAATTCACTTTTTATCAAAAACACCATGATATTGGAAACTTCATTTCAAACTGAACATCGGAATTTAGTAAAGTGAAATTAAAATAATAGATTAAAGTTCAACAAAATCTTTATGCTCAATGAAATCAAAATATCCTTTTTCATCCAGCTGTTTAATTTGTATTGATATTCTCATTTTTTTTTTTTTTAACTCTATAGAACCCACAATCTGGATGTATCAAACACTAATACACCATCTGCCTGCATCATAGTCTAATAATGAGTACAATAAGAGTGTCCCAAAACTATTCAAAATATTTCTGCCAAGAAAACTGCTGTCACCTGTACCTGTATGACAATCACTGATAGTGTGTGACCCAAATATTACCCAGGTTTGAACTGATTCTATCACTTTTTGACCCGAGAAAATTAAACTGTTGCTCCTTTCAGAAGAAAGTGACACTTGACAAACAGTACAACAAAGGTTTTTTAAATATCAGCTTGACCTTTGAACTGTACAGCTGATCCTTACTAATTCTAATATTAAATATCATCTGTTATTAAACAAATATGGGATTTTAATCGAAATCTTCCTCTACCCGAGACATGGACATTTAAACTTGGTGACATACACCCTAACACTTATTTACGTGTCTAGTGAATAGTATGTCATTGTAAATTCACAGCCATGCTTTACTCATTTTGGACTAGGGTCTCATTTTAGTAGGTGGTGGCTACCTCACTGAACAACATACAGAAGGTCTGTAACATGTCATCCACAGCAACTGGGGTGAAACAATAACAGCACATGAGACCATTCCGTTTCTCAGTGAGAAACACATGCTGCCAGGGAGAGTTGAAGCATTCATTTCATATATTCACCAAAGGTTATGTAGGCCGATGATATACTACCTGAGTTATTGTGGCCCTCTCACAGTAAACTAATACATTATATAGTATAAATCTCATAATGTAAATTATGTTTAATGCTACGGTGATGTGTTAGGATTTTGTAGTGGAATCTATATCCTATATAGATTACTAAATCATGACCATTCCTATGCTTCGGATAGAACCCTTATAAAAATTGCACGTCCTCCAGGCAATAGGAAAACCATTACGTAATAATTCAATACCATTCCAACATGGCACTGTGTATCTCTATGTTATGTAACTATGTTTCTGTCAAGTAATTTATTTTTCAAGCAGCAATAAATAATTTACTGTATTTATTCATTAAATATGCAAAAGATTTTCCGAAGTTGAACCAAAGTTCCGTCATATTGTTCTCACCACGTCTCTAAGTAACCCTTGACTTGGAATCGCTATGTGTACACTTGGTCAATACCATTATACAGTATTTCTAATCTCATACATTATATAACATTTCATGTCTGCTGGGAATGGATCCTGGGACAGCTGTATATATCACTACAACACAGTAGTGATAAAACATGTGGACAATGCCTTTCACCTGAACACCAATTGTATATGTGTTTCTAATGTATCTACCACACACAATGTCTCAGGTTACACGTACATAAGTGATTACAAGGTACTCACAAGAACTTTATCTCTTCACTAAATTTTTTTATTAAAATCAAACCTCAATTTATCTCTAAAAAAATTGTACCCCAAATAACAGTCAATTAACTGCCTGGACTGGCAAACTTTGTTTAGTATATATCTAAAGACTGTTTCAATTTGATAAAAGATCAAACTTCTCTCTCAAATAATTCATAAGGGTATCTTATTCCTGTGTAAAATTTGTCTTATTGTATCGGTAAACCACGATACCGGTTTACCATCTGATATATAATCATCATGTCTTCCTAGAAAATGGAAAATACAACTGATATACTTTTGCTTCAACTTTGATGAAAATGTATAAAAAGACAAAAAAGAAAGTATTAGGTCTATCCAATAAATAAGAATAAATAAATAAAAAATATAGGTCATTGTGACCTAAATATGGAAAATAGTACTAGAAAGAATGTTTATTTTAATTATGAGGATAAGTGACATTTAAACCTTCATTGCATCAGGTGTCTGACGCTAAATGGACGAACAGATTGAGGAAGTATCAGTTGGTATTCCTTCTACTAAAGCATAAACAAATAAAACGTTAAATAGAACTGATAAATATCTGTGTTGTTTATATTTCTGATATCTTTTACCACATTTCTTTTTCTGACATCAAATAAATTTATCAATTGTAAGAAAGTTAAAAGGTGTTTGGTCTTACTTGACTTTTTAAGAGAAAACTTAGGAGAAAAAAATATTTATAGGCCTAATTTTTCATTCTCGGCACTGTAGTACAGTAGATGTCCCTTTTCAACATCTAAATCAATATCGATGTGTCTAAGTTAAAAGGTGTTTAATTTTACTTGACTTTTTAGCAGAAAACTTAAAAGAAAAAATTTATAGGCATTATTGTTTATGCCCAGTACTATAGTTGTGTAGTGGTCCTTATTCAATATCTGGAGTAAAGTTGTATTAAACACTCAATACAAGCTACCATAACCCTTGAAACTATTTACTTTCTCTCACTAAACACTCTGATACCTAACATTAACAACTGCCCCATCACTCAAATAGCTGTTGTAAATACCAACAGCCATGTTTTATGGCAGTTGATGGAGACTACAATTTACATGTGTAGCCTGACATTAAACTTGGATTTGTTTTACATGTAAACTGAGACAGGTTCATGTCAATACAAGGTTGAAACCAAAGCTTATGTAAGTCATACTGTATTCAGCTGGCAATAAATCCATGGCTTGTCATAAATCTCTTCAAATCTGTTGTAGATCAGAGAAATGACAAACAAATGCTATTTTCTTGTCCAGAAATAAGCCCATCTGGAGTCAGAAATACATTAACCTAGAGCCTACTATAGGAAAAATACAGTATTCAGAGATCATCACTTACATATAAGTTTAAAAGATATGATATAAATAGATACGAACTTTATGATAAAGAAGAATATTTCTGAGTATAACATTTCAATTGTCTTAAGAACGAAAATGTCTTGATTTAGAGTGTGTTTTTGAGGGTTGTCAATCCCTAACTTTTGCATATTTTTCCCCTTAAAGTTTTCAGTTTCATAATACAAAAAACACCTGTATTTGGATTAAGATGCAATAAATACCATCAACAGCTTAATGAATTTTGTATCTATTGCTGTTAGACATGTTTGGCAATGAAAAACAACCATAAGCATAAAATGATAAAAATTAATTTTTTTTTGAAAATGTCGCTAGTATCTACCGATATATAAGATATAACCTTCCACAGACTGATGATCCTTACCTACAAGACTTAATGGAGTTTACATCAACTTTACACCACTGATTATGGAACCTTTGATTCAGAGTTGATTTGTACCAACAGATGAAGGACAAGAACAAACACACTCTTATATCGAACAAGTGTAAGATTTAAATATTTTTTAACTTATGTCAGAGATAATCACTGCCACATGATCAAGGACTTTTGTATCAGAATCCTTACTTTACAAAGTCATTTTATAGCTAAATTCCAATATACTGAAGTCTCTAATAACAAAGAAAGGATATTTAAGCACCACAGAAAAACTGTATACATATATGCATTGTACAGTAGATACAAAGGTATATATGATATAAAATTCAACAGAAATGTCCCATAAAAGCTCCGACTCACAACACTAACATTAAATGTGTATGACCGTGAGTTTTTATTGTAAGTACACCTGTATTATATAGCGACTTTGGTGTTGTAATCAACAGCCTCTCAGGTGAGACATAAACTCTTTGTTCCATGTCTCAACACAGGTATAAAACACGCCAGTAATGAAAGAACAAAGTATGGAATACATTACTACAGAACGTAACTAATTCACCAAGGAATAGACTGACAGAAGCAAGCATAAGATGCTACTCAAACTCACCTGTACAATGTTCAACTTTGATTTCGAGTCCTCCCACATGAAAGACACAAACTGGAAATAAAAAATGATTCTGTTGTAAGGTATGCAATCAGTGTATCATTTTAAGTCACATTTTTTTTTTTTTTTTTTTGTAAATTTTACTGTTTACAGAAATCCTTTTTAAACCTCTAATAAAACATATACTGACTTATCCTCATACAACGGAACTGGCAATGAAAATTATTTCTAGGATCTAGAAAGAATTTATCCACAGCATTGATATATTTGTACGAAAAGCTCATATTTTTTTTCCAGAGTCATTGCCACATTTACCTATCCCTTTAAGATGGAAATCTACCATATCATATAAAGAATCTTATTTTTTTCAGATTCAATGTCACACTTACCTGTCCCTCTATGATGGTGATTTGTGATCAATGTCACACTTACCTGTCCCTCTATGATGGTGATTTGTGATCAATGTCACACTTACCTGTCCCTCTATGATGGTGATTTGTGATCAATGTCACACTTACCTGTCCCTCTATGATGGTGATTTGTGATCAATGTCACACTTACCTGTCCCTCTATGATGGTGATTTGTGATCAATGTCACACTTACCTGTCCCTCTATGATGGTGATTTGTGATTTGTGGTCAACATCACACTTACCTGTCCCAATATCACACCTATCTGTCCCTCTATGATGGTGATTTGTGATCAATGTCACACTTACCTGTCCCTCTATGATGGTGATTTGTGATCAATCAATGTCACACTTACCTGTCCCTCTATGATGGTGATTTGTGGTCAATGTCACACTTACCCGTCCCTCTATGATGGTGATGTATGGTCAATGTCACACTTACCTGTCCCTCTATGATGGTGATTTGTGGTCAATGTCACACTTACCCGTCCCTCTATGATGGTGATGCATGGTCAATGTCACACTTACCTGTCCCTCTATGATGGTGATTTGTGATCAATGTCACACTTAACTCTCCCTCTATGATGGTGATTTGTGATCAATGTCACACTTACCTGTCCTTCTATGATGGTGATTTGTGATCAATGTCACACTTACCTGTCCCTCTATGATGGTGATTTGTGATTTGTGATCAATGTCACACTTACCTGTCCTTCTATGATGGTGATTTGTGATTTGTGATCAATGTCACACTTACCTGTCCTTCTATGATGGTGATTTGTGGTCAATGTCACACTTACCTGTCCCTCTATGATGGTGATTTGTGGTCAATGTCACACTTACCTGTCCCTCTATGATGGTGATTTGTGATCAATGTCACACTTACCTGTCCCTCTATGATGGTGATTTGTGGTCAATGTCACACTTACCCGTCCCTCTATGATGGTGATGTATAGTCAATGTCACACTTACCTGTCCCTCTATGATGGTGATTTGTGGTCAATGTCACACTTACCCGTCCCTCTATGATGGTGATGCATGGTCAATGTCACACTTACCTGTCCCTCTATGATGTTGATTTGTGATCAATGTCACACTTAACTCTCCCTCTATGATGGTGATTTGTGATCAATGTCACACTTACCTGTCCTTCTATGATGGTGATCTCAGGTATGGAGAATCCTTTATCTGTCACTGTTACTGGCACATCTTGTGAATCACCTGAGGACAGCAAATTCATACAACAGTGTAAATGTTTTTTTGAAGAAAACAACATTTTCTTGAACAGTAAAGTCATTAACTGTAAATTGAAGTGTTTAAACCCTTTGCTGTTTGATATAATGATACAACTAAGCACTACTGTTGGAGATATTGAGAACACTCACCATTGGTATTCCTGATATACATAAGATATATGTAGATACACATCTACATAGAAGTTGTAACACTGCTGGACATAAACATGAACCATCTCAGAAATTGAGCAATATCCAAAGACTTCCCAAAAATTCATACAGATAGACCAATGTAACAGACAAAAACTAGATGTGGATTTGGGAGTTCAAATCCTTCATTGAACCTTGAGCTGGTCATGTTTTCCTGAGGTAGGGGTGGGGATCTATCTTGAATACTTAATACATTTACCTCTGACCATTCTGTAGACATAAACTTCAGCTGGCTCTGTTTTTTCTGAGGTAGGGGTGGGGGCCCTTTACATATCTTTACTGCCTCATTTGACTCAACCTTGAGTTGGTTTTGTTAAGGACCTATTGTATGCTTGTATGTTTACCTCTGTGTATCTGGCCGCCTTGTAGACTTGACCTTGAGGCTACCCTGTTTGCTTGAGAGGCACTGGGAACCCTCTCCGGAGGCTGTTGTTCTCCCTCATCATCCAACAGGACCTCTTCCTGGGATTGGCCGCTTCCCATGGCAACACCTCCACTGGTACCTGTTTCAGATACACTGTCTGCTTTGTCACTGAAAGTCTGGGTTACTGCGTCTGTAAAGAAAAAAAATAAAATTAGAGTAAAAAAAAACTGGCAATCCATATTCAAAATCCCTATGTCATGGACTTACTTATCTATACCAGGTTTACATAGCAGTCACAAAGACAGTCATAATGGTTTTAATATCCTAGTTATCAAAGATTTTTCCATAAGTTTAAAGTGGTACCTAATGAGAAAATTAAGTTGCGGAAAAAATATCTAAGATGGATTTCAAGCAGAAAAATCCTTCCAGCACAAAATTTTAATTCATCATTAATTGATGACATAAACATTTACATAAAGAACAAAAAAGAGTTCCATAGGCCACAGAACTGAAATGTGTTCAGTTTTCATGTCAACTGGTAAAACCTTTTAGTGTTCAGAGACAAAGTTCACTGATGATGTCCATTGTGTGTGTACAGTACCTTATATAAGCAGCCTAAATCCCATATATTTATTTATTTAACACAGTTAAAGTGACGTCCTAGGGTTTTTTCATATGTACACACTATACCACTTTTCTAGTCATCATTTAAATTCAGTGGACTTTGATAAATATTTAGTAATGAATAGAAATCCTATTTACTGGAAGTATTCAGATTTGAAGATAAATTCCATAAAAAAAAAGCATTCGTAAAAATAGTGATTATATATTATATAATGCCAAGTATGATTTTCAGGTCGGAATCTCCATACAATGCATGTGAAATGTGTGAAGTTACCTATATCTAACATCAATGCCATTCATTTCTGAATCTCATTACAAGGTATTCAGTAACGCTATGACCCAATATTAAGGTAAGTATACAGGTGTAATTAAGTCCAAGTGTAGTAAAATATGGGTCCATCAATGAAACCAGACCATTAGATTGCTGTAGTAAATTGTTTTTTTAACATCTATCGAACCTTCTGTACAGTGTATACGACTATATTTTACCGATATTTTACCTTCGTGTCTGCCACACAACAGTGAAATCTCGTTATCAATCACCTGCACAGTGCGCATTTGTCAGCAGCCATGCATGTGTACATAATAGTGTAATCTGTGGGTCAATCAAATCTCACTTTATAGACTCCAGTAAACGTCACCTGCATACTGCCAGATCTAATCATCCAGCTTGAAGTTTTAAGTAGGTATAGCACCTCCTTAGGGATAAAGTAATTTTTAACATGAAATTTAACTATTATAGTCTATTAACTTCTCGCATATTAGTTTAAATTTAAAATTCATAGATGTTTGATTACCGTTATGATAACTACCTAAAATGGTAATCATGATTATCATGCTATTGTGTTCATAACGATAATATTGTCAATTACCTTACCATACAATAATACAATAAAAGCTATTTTACATGAAACATATAATATAAACTATGTAGCAAAAGTAATGAATTGTTGATTCGAGATCTACAGCTCAGTTACTTTTTATAAAATACTGTTTTTATCAATGTAACAAATTTTAACTGTTTTACAAATGCAAATGATTTTTTTTCTGAATAGATTGTGAAATTTATTATTGTTTTCATTATCAATTTTATTTTCAATTTTTTTTTTCCACAAAATACAGAACCTCTCTAAATTAAAAACCCCTACAGTAACTCTCACAAATTTGAATAAAAAATACATTACAAAATAGATTATCCCATGAAGTATCATGATTACCTGTCATTTTGAATTATTTAATCAAACGATCCTATATTTATAAATCCGTCTTGAAAAATCACACCAATGTTTAATCCAATACACAGAATGACAAAATCTCTTAAAGAAGAAGTCCCTTGATTTCGATTACATGTTTTCATGTTTGGGGATCAAGGGTACTTAATTAATTGTTGACTTTAAATCTGCTGCTTTTTTCAATGAAACAAATTTTTGCTGTTTTACAAATGCTAATCAGATTCTCTCTTTGTGATGCTCATGAAATGGATTATTGGTTTCTTTATTAATTATATTTTCAATTTTTTTTCCAAAAAAGGAACCCCTCTAAATTAAAAACCCTACAGTAACTCTGACAAATTTGAATAAAAAATACATTACAAAATAGATTATCCCAAGAAGTATCATAATTACCTGTCATTTTGAATTTTTTTAAACAAACGATCCTATATTTATAAATCCATCTTGAAAAATCACACCAATGTTTAATCCAATACACAGAATGACAAAATCTTCTACAGAAGAAGTCCCTCGATTTTGGTTACATGTTTTCGTGTTTGGGGATCGAGAGTACTTGAGTCTATGATCAAACACAACTCCGGACTAGAATAACAGATAAATAGCACTATTACTCATCAGAACAGTCCATACACAGGTACAAACAAGTTTGTCCCTCCTGTAGCAACATGGAAGTCAGGATAGTCCCTGTACTTCTCGTATCCATACCACACAAACTCCCCTAGCTACAAGTAACACCCATATCACAGTTGCAGAATCGTATCAAATCCTAAACACAACTGCCTTACACTGATAATTCTGTTCATTGGTTAACTACGTTTCCAAGACTCAAGAATGTTGCAAGTATGTCTCTCAAAAAAAATTTCAATCTTGATCGATGGATCGATTGCCCTACCATTGAGGAGTAACTGTTGGAGCTGATAACAGGTAGGTATAGACTGTTTGCCCACATAAGATTATCAGGAAGTCTGTACATAATGCGTAGGGGACTTAAACCTCTACTTACCCTCAATGACAGACCACAGGTGGGACAACATTTAAAATGTCTACATGCACAAGTCATACTGTTTAAATGTTTATTAATTCAATCATTGATGATAGATTTTATATCTTACATTATCCTTTAAATCAATATGATGTTTTACTGAACAGAAGTAAAATTCAATACCAATTTGTGTTTAAATAACCAAAGATTTGATAACTTCGTGAGTTTCATTTATTCTTTTTTTATTTTCATATTTTTTCATTTTTCAAAATAACAAGATATGATACACACACCAACATTTACAGATATGACTCATCATCATCATCATCATCATCATCATCATCATCATCATCATCATCATCATCATCATCATCATCATCATCATCATCACCATCATCATTAGTATCATCATCATCATCATCATCATCATCATCATCATCATCATCATCATCATCATCATCATTCTATGTAACTCATTATCATAATAATTGTAATTATCATTATTGTCATGATGATCATCAAAATAATCAACATTATCACAGAGAGAGAGAGAGAGAGAGAGAGAGAGAGAGAGAGAGAGAGAGAGAGAGAGAGAGAGAGAGAGATAGACAAACAGAACAGACAGACAAAACAGACAGACAGAAGGACAGAGATGGGAAATTCAAAGGGAGTTTTATGGATAAAACTCCTCAACAAGACGTCACCTAGATCGTCCAGAATATGTACCCTGACAATAGTAAAAAATCAATGTACATGTTACTGGGTGGTACAATGGAGAAACACACGCCTTACACCCTGGCGACTGGTGTTTGATTTCCCAAATAAGTGTCAGTAACACAGCAAACACAACATCTCCTGAGGAGTAATTACAACATCTCCTGAGGAGTAATTACAACATCTCTTGAGGAGTAATTACACCATCTCCTGAGGAGTAATTACAACATCTCCTGAGGAGTAATTACAACATCTCCTGGGTTTAAATAAAACAGTAATTACAACATCTCCTGAGGAGTAATTACAACATCCTGAGGAGTAATTACAACATCTCCTGAGGAGTAATTACAACATCTCCTGAGGAGTAATTACAACATCTCCTGAGGAGTAATTACATTATCTCTTGAGGAGTAATTACAACATCCTGAGGAGTAATTACAACATCTCCTGAGGAGTAATTACAACATCTCCTGAGGAGTAATTACAACATCCTGAGGAGTAATTACAACATCTCTTGAGGAGTAATTACAACATCTCCTGAGGAGTAATTACAACATCCTGAGGAGTAATTACAACATCTTCTGAGGAGTTATTACAACATCTCCTGGGTTTCAATAATACAGTAATTTCAAGATCTGCTGAGTGTCAGTAATACAGTAATTTCAACATCTCTTGAGTGTCAGTAATACAGTAATTTCAACATCTCTGCAATTACAACATCTCCTGAGTGTCAGTAATACAGTAATTTCAACATCTCTTGAGTGTCAGTAATACAGTAATTTCAACATCTCTTGAGTGTCAGTAATACAGTAATTTCAACATCTCCTGAGTGTCAGTAATACAGTAATTTCAACATCTCCTGAGTGTCAGTAATACAGTAATTTCAACATCTCCTGAGTGTCAGTAGTACAGTAATTTCAACATCTCTTGAGTGTCAGTAATACAGTAATTTCAACATCTCTTGAGTGTCAGTAATACAGTAATTTCAACATCTCTTGAGTGTCAGTAATACAGTAATTTCAACATCTCTTGAGTGTCAGTAGTACAGTAATTTCAACATCTCTTGAGTGTCAATAATACAGTAATTTCAACATCTGCTGAGTGTCAGTAATACAGTAATTTCAACATCTCTTGAGTGTCAGTAATACAGTAATTTCAACATCTCTTGAGTGTCAGTAATACAGCAATTATATCATCTCCTGAGTGTCAGTAATACAGTAATTTCAACATCTCTTGAGTGTCAGTAATACAGTAATTTCAACATCTCTTGAGTGTCAGTAATACAGTAATTTCAACATCTCTTGAGTGTCAGTAATACAGTAATTTCAACATCTCCTGAGTGTCAGTAATACAGTAATTTCAACATCTCCTGGGTTTCAATAATACAGTAATTTCAACATCTGCTGAGTGTCAGTAATACAGTAATTTCAACATCTCTTGAGTGTCAGTAATACAGTAATTTCAACATCTCCTGAGTGTCAGTAAAATACTTGGTAAAAAAAGAGACTTTAAATTCATTTTTAATTATTTCTTATAAGCCCACTTAGTATTTGATTTGGGATTAAAAATGCACATTTTATATTGAATGGTAATGGAATTATTTTCTTATCTCAATACAAAGGCTGCTACTGAAAGTCTGGTATCAGTTTGATGTATCCAAGGTTCACTTTTTACAAAAAGGGACCACAGGAAAACGTATTGATTTATTAACATTAACGTTTCACAACTGTGCAGCAATAAATAAATCTAAGCTGAAAGGATGAGTATTTCATTGTATAAAAAAAACTTGAACCTCAATGAATCGGTACATGTGTATTGTATCATCTTACAACACCAAAGCTGTTGTTCAAGAATTACAACAGTATGAACAGATTTATACATCCTTAAACTTCAGCTACTCACAAAATTTTAATATTTCATTTCATAGAAAACTTATTGTCCTCTAAAGAAAATTTACATTTCTGTAAAACTTCAAGATTGGTTTTATATCAAGATAAATTAAAAAGTACCAGACTTCAATAAAAGACTTCACATCTTAGGAAGTTTGACCTCCATATGATCTGTAGGATGAATGGTAACCAGGGCTGACATTGACTTGGATACTGGACACATAAATGTGAAGAAAATGCTATTATTCTATATTTAAGTAAATGAAAACATGTAGATGAATAAAATCAACATGAATATTCCTGACCATGAGAAGAAGTTTAATTATCATGACTGGATCAATCTATCTACTGACTCTCCTCTCCTACCTTCAGTAACAAAGGAAAAATCAGAAATAAACCCTGTGTTCTTTTAACATGAAATTAGTTCCCTTGTTTTAACATGGAATTAATTCCCTTTGTTTTACAACATGTCGACACAATCGTGTGTAATGCCATATATTGGTTAGCCATTTCACTGTAGAACAAATTACATGAAAGAAATGAGTTTAAATCTTCCTATATATATATGTATATTATATGTATATATCCATATTTCCATATATAGAACCAGCATTCTGTAAGAGGTATGTAACACTTGTACATGTGTATAGACTTGGCTTAGTGTCTATGTGTAGTTACACTGGTACCAGTACTGGTCAATATTGACAATTAAATGTCTATCATGTTTAAATCTACGTTTAG